TAGAACAATTTTAATAAGACAGAAATATCTATAGAGGACGAGGTAGCCAATTAGGCTACAACCAGTAGTTAATAGGTTGACTCGTCTACTTATAAAACAGAGAAAGTTCGTATTAAATTATGATTCTACCATATACCATATGTATGCTATGCATATTCGGCCTCATTTCATATGATCTATGACTATGCATCTGAATGCAATCTCATACGCATGCCTAAAATGGTGCATTCCTAACTGGATGCAGCTATCTTTAGACTCGAGTTTCCTTACTGAGAACTGTTTCATAAACCTAGAGTTCTTAGATCGAATCATTCGCAGAACACAAAATTGGAACATTATTTATATAATTTCTGCAATCTGCAATGCTGTATATGAGTCTTATTATTCGGGTACCTAATTTAAAAATTCTAATTGATATCCATCTTATGTCGGAATACTCAAACGCTACTCAATTTTAAGTCGCGCTTAAGTATAGTTCTGTCTCCACAAATTCTTTATAAAATGACAGAGACGGCATGATATTTAAGCACGACTTAAAATTGAGTAACATTTCAGTATTCCGGCATTAGTCTTTATTCCGAATATAGGTAAGTTTTTCAAAGTCAATACAGCTTGAAGTTCATAAGCCGTAAAATTTCCCCAAGACAATATATGGAAAAACGGATCCTTCTTGTGTTTTATACATCGCACCTTTGGACAATTGAATCATCAAGATTCAAATGTTAATGACTTCTTCAAAATAGAGTGACAGTTCTCGAATTAACGTTTTCAAACAAACTTTTCGCCTGTACAAATCATGGTGGTTATTAGTACAGATTTTAAACTGAGATGAACTCATGAACTCTTAATAACTAGACTAGTCTGTTAAATAACCTAGTCTAGAAAAACAATGGTCACCCAAATAACGAGATACACTAACGCTAAAAGAATTTGTCAAAACAAAAGCGAAAAATTAACATTGAATACCTAAACGTCATTTGACGTGCAGCCATATTAGTTGGCAAAGGAGTCTAGCCATTCTGCCTCATGTAAGGAAGCGTCACGCATTGTGCCTATGCTAATGCGCGCCTAAAAAGTGACAATTATTGTATTGGAGAAAGTGACAATATGTTTTGAATTTATAATTTGTTTACCAAATTACGAGTAAGTGTGCATTGAAGACAATGCTTTTAGGTTTCTTTTATACTCAACTTGTGTTTTAATAATTGTTTTGGATTATTTTATACCTACATGAAGTAAAATGAAATATTCGAGCAAATGTTTACTCTTCAATCACGTAGCGGTGTCTATTTGAGATTGAACGCTTCAATTTTATGGAAGCAAGGGATTTTAGTTACGCAGTAGTCAGTAAAACTATCTCACAATTAGCCTACTTTTTCATCTAGCTTAAAGACAAGCAAATTGCTTTCCAAATAAATAAGTAGCCGTAGTAAGTAGTAAACGATTTTTTTTAGATATAAATTCTTCAACAATAAATTACTTACACTTGCTGATGATTAGAACAAATTATCCCTTAGAACTCTCGCAATGAACTACTTCCATATGGGGCAAATTGGTCTCCAAGAAAAGCTGGTTGTAAGCGACCAACCGGCTTCCTGTAACCTTTATCAAGTCTCGTAATCTGACACCCTTGTCTTTGGACGACTACTAATCTTACTAGACCAAAATTGTCTTTAGATATAGCCCTTGTTATAGGGTTTAACAACACCCACGAATACAATATGTTAACAAGACCTATTACACACATAATGGTTTTTTGCAGGGTCATGATTGTAGAGTTCGAGTCACGTAATAAGAATGCATTCAATGTACGTGACAAGGTGATCAAAACGAAGCTACTGACCAAACCATTACCTACCTGTAGTTAGTTCAGAGAATCGGTGAAGTGAAAGCTAATGGCTAACCTTTGGGTCGTCTGTCAAAATTTTTATAGAACATGTCACGTTTTTGCCATTAACTTTTTTTTAAGAATTTTTTAAAATAAAGGGCGATGGTTGTGCTTTTTTCATGTCCCTAATATTCTATATTTTGTCGCAACATGGGTCCTTTCTTAAGATTTTCTTTTATTTATTAATCGACACGCAAATTAAAAATATAAGAAATGAGGTTCACATTTGGTTCCAATATTTATACAAGAATCCGTTTGAGGTCTTTTTATGGGATAGACCAAACAACGAGGTAAGCATTTGGCGCGACTTAGGGACACCCGAAACACCGGAGGAGTTATAGCCCGATTTTTTTTTAGGCGGAGAAAATCATCGAATGACTGCTCCCGTCTGGGGGAGGCTGGAGAGAGTGTCAAACTCTTACTGACTAAAAACCACCCCGTTCCTTCTCCTGCACGTCGAGCAGGAGCCCCGGTTACCCGTTAGGTTCTCCGCGACAGGTAGAGCCCGATACGACTTCAAATCCAAGGCTAGATAAGCACTTAGGTATACTATTTATGTTAAAACGAATAAGGGCCGATTTGTCTATCATCATTCATCAGTTAATTCTTAACTGTAGAATAAAATTGACATTTGACAGTTATTAGTATGGAAGAATTGTCAAATATTCAAACTTATTCCTTTGATAAAATTTAACTAAACATTGAAAAATCGGCCGTTAGGCATCTTAAATTAAATTAATTGAATCAAAAAACTATAATAAATATCTGTAGGTATATCATAAACTGTTATTATATTTGCAGCCATTTTTATTACATATTACATAGGAAGCTATTACAGTTGAAATTGAATTATTTTTATACGTTACACGTAACGAGGTTTTCATTCCATTAATGTGTGTTATGTATTAAGTGAAGGAAACTATGCATTCAATTGTAATATTAACTGAGAATTCCTATTAATTACTTATTTTAGTTACTTCCCATAAAACTATTATTATTTTATGGTTTGTTACTTAATGCTGTATTTGGTGTCTATTGCTGGGAACAGGGATCTTCTGGGCGCAGGATCGTGCAACATGATTATTTCTGGATATACTAGGACTTGGAATTTAGACTTAGGTACTTAAATACGTACCTCTATTACTCTTTGAGACACGACACATGTTAGGACTACATGCACGTGGATTTCAACCTCGAAATCGATCTTCTAAATCGGACAGTGAACCTAAGCCCCCGTGTTGTCAGTTGTGAATTGTGATTTCAATTACAATCTAGTAGATATTATCTTATTAAAATACTACTTACATTCAAATCGAAACCGCTGGTGATCCATGATCGTTTCCGCAACACGCTGTATTTTCTCCTGCATTTTGTCAAAAATCCATCACTTTTATGTTTCGAACGACGAGTCACTACGTAACGTTCCATTATAATTCCGCTCAGCAATCAGTTTATCACTTAAAAGAAAAACACCCGAAAACACCGCACTCACTACTAAACACGTTGGGCTCAGCCCACTAACGCCTTACAACTAAAACGTAGAAAACAAACCAACTACCTACCAAAACATTTTAATAAAGTTATATAAAAGTAACGAACCGAATACAATTTAATTACTTCAAAACTCTTGAATAAATAACCAAGGAGGCCGTTACGGTTGCCTCTCAAGTAAACATTAGAAAGTTTATGAAAACAAACTAAATTCGTAATTGGAACGCGGAAAATTTAAAAATAAAATTTTCGCGCCGACCGGCTGGGGCGGGAAGCGTCGTCCTTTGGCTGAACATACGCGGTTAATAATATCGTTCGGTGCACAATTGTCGCCTTATTCGTGTTACGGTATGTTGGAACGAATACGGATGCGTGATTCGAATGCTTTGCTCATAGATTTTGATTGTCCCTCCCATACAAAACGGACAATAGGTACTCGATATGCGCCGCCACGGCCCGTCCTCAGCGCTGTTTTGTTAGTAGGTAATTTTTCTAACCCAAATACCTGATCAAGGACGTCTCGTGTGGGAACGGTATCATAAGTGAATTAAATGCCGAATTTAGGCCGCGCCCTCATTTGATACTTCTTTTATAATTCAGGTCGTGTAGTTTCTTTGGCTGAATGCTCCACTTAGGTAAAAATGAGAATTGGGGTAGGTAGGTAAAAAGTACATGGGCGTGATTGGAGGTAGACTTATATGAAAGTACCTACATTGAATAGGTTATAGATATATTATAGACTAACATTAACAATTAATGGAAATTGTTCATCCCTCTGTATTTCTACTATTTGGTGCTACCTAATGATGTCTCTTAGTTACTGAGAAGTGCCAATGCAATAAGATTTAAAATGAACTAATTTTACCATTTACCTAGGTAGTCGAAACTACAAATTGATAATCCTTCTTACCCTTGCCATAGGTAAGGGAATTTAAGGGTTGAGATTAATGAGAGAACGTTCTTCAGAACTGTCACGTTTTGTTAAGGTTTAATCATTCCCTTCTTTGACAGCTCAATATATTACATAACATAACATCACGCCTTTTACCCTCGAAGGGGTAGGCAGAGGTGCACATTATAGGTACCACTGTGCAATGTAACACCCACTTTTCACTATTTATGTTATGAGTCTCATGTAATAGGGGGTGAGCTTATTGCCATATACCGGGTACAGTTCCAGACTCCGTGCTAATACTGAGATGTTTTAAAAAACCCAGTAATACTTTGCCCGACCCGGGAATCGAACCCGAGACCCCTTGCCCGGCAGTCGCACTTACGACCACTCGGACAACGAGCTCAATAATTATGATGAGTTTTTTTTAGACAAACCCAAAACCGTCTTTATTTATTAGCCAATAAAAAAAATCTATTTTGCTTGCTATTTTTATGTCATTCTTCACTAGATGGCGCTACTTGAAATAATTACATTTCTTTTAGAACTGGATAACAGGCGTGACATCTGCGATATGATATAACGTTCAATGTTTTACGTAAAGTTTATACTTTTACATTAATTTATGAATTACAAGAAATATACCAGTTTTCGACTTCGTTATTGGTATTTTTCTAGCTTGTCTTTCATTTCCTTCTAGTGATGCAACTGGCAACATTTTACAACAAAATGTCAAAACCCGAACTCGACAGTGATGGTTTTCAGAAAGTAAAATCAAAACGAATTTCAAAGAATAAGCCTACAAAAATACCAAGTAGAGACATAGAATTTGATAAACTAGACGTAGATATAGACGTCGACAAGACCATTCAGTAAGTATCTTTAATATCTCAGCAAAAATAACATTTATTCAAAATTTTGAGGTTAAATCATTGTTGTTTACTATCTTACAGACGGATATACTGCGCTGTAGACGATTTGCGGCTTTCTAGCTACCTAGAGGACGTTATAAAATCCGTGAGTAGCATTCTAAAGAGCAGAAAAGTTGTAGAAATAGTTTGTTTAGGTCTTGGACACATAGCAGAATGTAATATTTCAAAACATCAGTTAGCTCTCTTGCTGTGTCTAAAAGACCATTGTAAGCCTACGAAAGTATTAGTACATGACCCTATTTTTTATAAAAAGGAGTGTGAAATCTTAAAAAAGTTAGGCTTAGAAGTTGTTTCAGAAAACAAAGAAGGTGGTTATGTAATATCTGATGAAGGGCCTACTCTTGTTTATTTACCTCATTGCCCAAAGCAATTGACTAATAATTTCCTTTGGAGTAACTGGGGTAGTAATTTAGAAAACTGTGTACTTGTGTGTAACAGTTTTCATTCACTAATTGACAATCAACCGAGTAGGATACTGTCTGAAACTGTCCCATACATAATTAAAATATTTCCCCACACTTCTGAAGAGACGTTAACAAATAATTTCAAATTCACTGACATTTTTAATGATACTTCTATTCATTATTTTACTAAAGAAAATCTAGAACAACTTGAATCAGATTTTTGGGTCAAAGGCGACAAACCAACATACGAAAATACCGAAGAATTTATAACATCTCTCATGGTCAAGCAGCTGAACATTTAATTTGTTTGAAGGTATTAAAATGGCATCAATTTCTACAAAACCTGCTTTAGTAACACTACGGCAATTGTTGTCGGAGTTACGTCAACAAGGTTCGTCATCAAAGCTTGCAGAGAATCAAATGGTTCAGTACATATTCAGGGAATACAGGAAATATCAGACTACAGACCAACAACTATGCAAGGCAGCTGATGAAATGCATTTCAGAGCTAAGTCTTACTATGATTATCTCCACCACTCCAGAAGGTACAAAGAAATCAATGCTGAGTTCAAAGGAAAGGGAGAAAGGAGTGTTGAGGAAACCGCAAGGATGGTCGGATTCAAAATGCCACATGAACCGAAACCTTAACATTAAACAACTAATAATCTTATGTAGACTTAGTTTTCTGTAAATAAATCTTAATATTATAGTTTATAAAAGTCTTTTATTTGGAATACAATTTGTATAAAATATATAATTTTTAATTACATTAAATTTGATTTTGTATAAAAGGGAAGACATTATTCTTATATAATTATACAATAACTTTTTAACTAATATCAACTACAATCTCTTTAGCATCGTATATGTACTAGTTCACAATTTAATAAATGCAAACATTTGAATAGTAACCAGTACTATTCGTTAAATTCGGATGTTCTCAAAATTTATTTATGTACAAAATATCATTCATAATATTATATTTTTCTTTCATAATCTCTATTGGCTGTACTCCTTCTCGATCAGCTTGGCAATAGTTTGCAGTTGCATATTACTGGTTCCTTCATAGATGGTACCAATCTTGGCATCCCGGAAGAACTTCTCTTGAGGGAAATCTCTAGTGAAACCTACTCCTCCCATGAAGTCGATGCACTTTGATGTCAACTTCTGTGCGATTTCTGTAAATTGAAAATGTTTGTTAGCAATATTGGAGTTTTAGAACAATATTTACTAAAGGAGAAAAATAGGTATCTCGTGACTACAGATTTGTTTGTGTGGAAAATTAAGTTTCTATAAAATTAAAGCTTTTTCTTAAAGTCTATTTATGACTCGTTGATCGAGGGGTTACAAGGGGCTACCTACTACACTTTTCTTATGTCTGTATAATAATTATGGGAGTCACTCTTGCGACCAGGGACTGTTTTCAAAGACCAATTTCTTGACTTATTTACCTGAAGCGTAATATTTAGCCATGGCAGCTTCCTTGACGAAGCTCATGTTATGTTCCTTGAGCCTGGCAGCGTTGTAGGTCAGCAGACGAGCGGCTTCCAGTTGAGTTTGGAGGTGAGCGATCTGGTAGCTGATACCCTGGATACATGAAATGTTCAATATTAGAGCAAAAAGTTTTTAAACAGGCACCTACCTCTTCGTTTATTCATAGTGATGCAAGATTACTCGACGCCTATTTGCATTTGCATTTACTTTCATTAGTTAGACCGCCGAAGTAGACAAAAAAAGTAGATACAGGTAGGTAGGTAGATACCTACTTTTTGTAATAGTTACAGACAATTGTTCTGCTGCTAATCAACCATAGAATATTAATTGTGAATATTAAATACCTGCCTATTTGTTAATACTTAAGTATTTGTAGCTACTTAGCAAATTGTTTCAGTACCCAACTTATCAATTAGTCATAAGTAATTTGATTAGTTAACCCATTCTTCAAGTGTGAGAGAGCCATACTTCGGCACGAATTGGCCGGCTCGACCGGAGTGACACCACGGTCTCACAGAAAACCGACGTGAAACAATGCTTGCGTTGTTTCCTCGTGTGAGTGAAGTTAACCGAGGCGTAATCCCCCCCCCCCCCCCTAAATTACTAATCCCCTAAAAGCCTATAACACACATGAAAGCCTCTAATGTTCCAGGTGTCCATGGGCGACGCTGATTGCTTACCATCGGTCCACCTAATCGTTTACAGACTTATCCCATAAAACAAATTCTTCGTTGCTTCATTATGTTCCTTCCAAGTCATTGTACAGAACATTCTTACCTGGAATGAGTAAATGCTCTTGCCGAACTGCTTCCTCTCAAGGGTGTAAGGAATGGTGGCGTCCATGCATCCTTGGCACAGACCGATCATCTGCGACGCGATACCAATGCGGCCCTCGTTCAGGAAACCGGCTGCGTATTTGTAGCTAGAATGAAGAAATTATTGGAATAAGAAGATTATGGTTCAAAAGTAAGAAGTATTAAGTATCTGCTTTATTAGGTCATAGAAATAGGTAGGCCGTAGGTTACGTAGATCTACTATATGTAGGTAGCTACCCACATTTAGCGCAGTATCATGTAACGGAGCAGCTAATCACTACGCTTAGCTAGTGCACTAACCGTAAAATCTGATATGTACGTAAGTACCTATAAATCCCTGCCTAGACTAGACTTTAAAATTACTTCCATTATTAATTCCAGTAGCTAGACATCACTCAGGAACGAGGTAAACTGTTTAATAACGTTTACTTTTTATAAGAAGGGCTCCCCGAAAATGATGATGCATCCAAACAGTGGGTTGGGCATCCGAAACCCTCACCAGGTAAAACGCAGTAGGTAACATTACGGCACCATCTGGTACCTATTCTGTAAGAGGGTAGGGACCCTAGTTGACTGATTTAATGTAGATCCTGGCTTACAGGAATTGTAGCGGTTTTGTCCTTGTCCCATAAAAAACCCTGTTCGAGTATGTCCATTGAAGATACAGCAACTAGCCTCTATCACCGTGAATTAAGGTTCAATTCTAGAAACAGTAGTTTCTACTCACCCTTTGCCATATTCTCCAAGAATGCTGCTTTCATGAACCCTAACGTTGTCAAAGTGCACCATGCAGGTTCCTGAAGCACGGATACCGAGCTTGGTCTCAGGCTTGGCAACACTCAGTCCGGGGGTATCGCGCTCCACGATGAAGCAGGTGATGCCTTTGTAACCCTGGAATTTTATTGAACCATTTTAGTGATGAAGGTTTGGATATTATAATTGGAGCAATAGCTCCAAATTAAGTAAGGATGACGATGCAAAGTTATTGGGCTAGGTGTTTTTATCGATTAAAATCAAAACACTCTTGGAAGACTGCGGTGAAAATAAACAACGACCAAACACAATGGAGACTTATACCTAATTCGGAAAGTTTTGAAGTAGACCCTGAATATTCATTTAGTATTTTCTTACCTTAGACGGGTCAGCATTAGCCATAACGAGGAACACTCCAGCGACATCGGAGTTGGAGATCCACATCTTGGAACCGCTGATGACGTAGTGCTCACCATCCTTCTTGGCAACAGTCTTCAGGGCAAACGCATCGGATCCTGAGCTAGGCTCTGTGAGGCAAAAACTACCAGCCTGAGAAAGAATAATAATTAGGTTTATCTATTTGACTGTTTGCTAAATAACTACATGCCTCTTGTAGACCAAAAAAAAGTACCTAGCTATCTACAGATATTTATAGATGACATTTTTCCAGTCTTTATTTAATATAGAATTTACTGCCATACACATGTATAGTGATGACCCAAAAAGAGCCCTTTTTTGGTGAACAAGTGGTTTTAACCAAATATTATAGGTACTTCGAGCAATTTGAATCATGGCTCCACCACCGTCCAATAAACACGGCCATAAGTTTTAATTTTAAAACCCCAGAAAGACAAAATTGTCAAAGTGTACTTACGTATTCAGTGCAGAGTTTCGTCAAGTACTTCTGTTTCTGCTCTTCAGTACCAAGTTTCATGAACAGAGAGTTGACGAGGGTGTTGTGGATGTCCACGTAGGCAGCTACCGCAGGGTCTACCCTGGACAACTCTTCGACGACCAACATCATCGTGAGGAATCCACAGCCGGAGCCAGAGTATTCAGTGGGGGTCTCGATACCCATTAACTGTGGAGGAAATTAAATATGGTTTTATCTTTTATGAAAAGTTTTATTCTGAATAGGTGGTAAATTTTATGATCGGGGCTATGAACGACTTAAGGTTACCGGGGCTTGAAGCAGGATAGGAACAGGGTAATTTTGAAAGAGTCTGACACGCCCTCTTGCCTTAATTAAAGTAGGTATATTGAATTCCACTCTTTAATATGTCCTATATTGTATGTAGATACGATCAATTAATTACATATTTATAAATGACACGACATCAACGAACCGCTGTTAACTTTCGGACTTATTCATGAGTCCGTATTGACCTCTAACAATTGATTGAAGTATAAATAGACCCGCTAATGTTAAATTAAGTACCGATAGGTAGAATGCACTTCTCAAGGTTGTTGCATGATTTCTACAATCATCTCCTGAAAATCCCCTTTCACTTATAGCTATAATACCTCTTGAATTATATGATGTTATCTAAGTCTTTTTAAATCCATGACATTGTATTGAAAGTCATACTGATATCGTTAAGTCATCAGAGTTTATTGCCACTTGTTTGCACAATAAATGCATTATATAATTGGCTATGTAGTTATCTACCTACTTGTGTTTATTGGTGTTTTTTTTCTTGATTATGTAATGCAGTGTTGTATATTAATAAAATTGATCGATTACCTACAATCGGTTTAGAGTGGTAAGTATTTCCAGCTTCCCAAACAACACAAATAGTTTCACTTTTTAATTCCTATTGCTGACGTTCAAAAGTGCCTTCCTGGTCTAATTGAAATGAATGATTTTGACTTTGACTTTGACACATTTCAGGAATGAGTTTACGACTTCCCAGGTAGTTAGAAGGTGATCTACTAGGTACTGATGCTACTGAGTTAAAAATTGCACGGCTAGTTGTGGAGCTCGTAATGATATGAATAAATTATGTTTATGAAATACAAGTAGGTAACTGAATAGAGGTGTGGATAGACAAAAACGAAGGTGATGACCAAACACAAGATGGATATTGTGTGAGGAACAATATGAGAAGAGGAGTAGGAATAGGATAGGATGGCATTTGATGGAAGAAAATTGAAGAAGACACTGTACTGAGGCCAAGTAATTTGGGAACTGTAGGAAGATAATGATGATGATAATTGAGATTAACTAAAAATCGCAGGTTACTCATGTGAATATACTGAGATAAGCTCTACTAGTTTCGAACCACAGAGGGGTTCCACCTCATGAGCAGAACGCGCGGTCACGGCGATGTCGCGTAGCCTACTTCAGCAGTCAGTATATTCACGTGAGTAACCCGCGATTTTTAGTTAATTTAGTATGTACTAGTTTTAGTACGTACCTATGTCTCACGATAGTTATTATAAAAGGTAATTGAGATGTTTGTAAGAAAATAAAAATGTGTAGGAACATAAGTCCCAGGGAGTGAGAAGATACTTACGCCATTGTCAAAAAGCAGTTGCCTGATGCTGTCATCGATGCGGTGTTCGTCTTCCATTTTCTTGACCAGGGGAGCAATCTGTTCTGTTGCCAGTTTTCTGACTGTAAGCAATAGAAATAAGGAGTTAATCATCAAGCGGCCTTTTTCATTCAGTGAGATTTCTACTAAAGTATTCCATATTCTTTCTGGAATATTTTGTGTCCTATCTAGCTGTCTATATGCGTATTACTTTTATCACATCAAGTGTTGATTATTATCATAGATATAGCAATGGTTTACTATTATCCTACTCAAATCCATCCAATCTTGACTGACTGACTGGTCCATCTACAAGTTTTCGTAAGATAGAGTAGTTGAAAGTAATATATATGTCACTACCAGGTGAACTAACCTCATTCTAAAATTGACGCCATTTCAGATCATATTGCCATTGCCATATCTATATTGGGTATTTTTCAAAATTAAAGTTTCTATCACATAATTGACTGCACGGTTGGTGCGGTGGCTGGGCAACTGGCTGCCGCGCAACGTGTCGCGGGTTCAATTCCCGCACGGAACAATTCTTTGTGTGATCCACAGATTGTTGTTCCGGTTCTGGGTGTCATTGTGTATATGAACTTGTATGTTTGTAAATGCACCCACGACACAGGAGAAAATCCTAATGTGGGGCCACTTTTTTTAAAAAACAAACTTAATAAAATCTTGGTTCCATTTCAACTCCAAAAACACCAGAAACGGTGACTCTAATATAGATTAACTCGTCGAGTACCGGTTTTATAGACACAATTAAAGAACAATAGATCGCGGTCACCGGTGACCGCTTGGTGTTTGACAGTTTAAAGGCCCTTATTTTTAGGTTGTATACGGGTACCTACGACTAAAAATAAACATCAGTAGTAGGACATAATAATAACGGGCGATATCAACTACCACCATCATTTAAATGACGATAAAGCGGTTATTTAAAAAACATGTCACGCTATCTTTTCAACGAGCAACTGTGCGTTCATACAGCCAGCAAAATGGTAATATTATTGAGGACGGTCGAGTCACTTTACGTTTCTAGGTTTCCAGTATTTCTAATCTTATGGTCGCGTGTCTAACTTGTACCTAATTGTTCTAAAAACATGGTGGAATGTAAGCTAAAGCTAGGTATGTACGTACCTAACTACCTACTTTTATTTTTAAGGGGGGAAAGTCATCGAATGACTGCTCCCGTCTGGGTGAGGCGGAAGGGAGTGTCAGACTCTTACTGACTAAAAACCAACCCGTTCCTTCTCCTGCACGTCGAGCCGGAGCCCCGGTTACCCGTTAGGTTCTCCGCGACACCTAACTACCTACTGTTTAGTCAATCCTTAATCTATTAAGGAGTGTCGCAGTTACTTAATTAGATTAATGTGATCGTAAAACAATCAGGAAAGTCATTACCTATCTGGCTGATCCATTACAGCAAACGTTTTTAGTTTCACTTGACATAGAAAAGTAAATATTCGGTACCAAAGACCAGAGTTCGGCATACAATTTTAACTAACTACTGATTCTTTTGTCACTGTGTTTTTATCAAAGGCATTTAGGTAATTCTCAACAGTTCCGTATGTAGATACTTAGGTACGTTTTGGGTCTCTAGTTATTCTAGATATCTATTTTGATTTCGACATTGTGGGGATATTTACGTATGAAATAAACAGAAGCTCCTGTATTTATAAACACGTTGTAAAAATGTATCAAGAAAACGGGTGTGTCCAGACGTAAGTCGACGCAATAGCAAATATTTCACAGTCTTTTAATACATGATCGCGATTTTATATAAAATATATGTATAAGTAGTAACACCCACGTTTCTTTATCTTCGTTTCTTCCATCTTATCATACTCATACGTTCAAAAACAAGCATTTATCGCGCACTGTTGCCAAGTATTTTAGCGACCGAACATAAACGATAAAGTATTATAATGCTATAGTTATTCTGTTAAGATTACGTTGTTTCATACGAGGATAGGTCGGTTTTCGTAATATGTATGTGATAAAAGCCAGTGAAATTAATATAACAACGATTAAAACTAGCTTGTGGGCGTGCGACGTTGAAATTAAAATGTAGCTAGATAGCTAAATTATCTAACTAAACTAGACCAGTCTTTTATTAAAAGTACCTATGCTCCAGTGAACTTCGTACCATCTCAGAATCCAGCATACATAAATATGTTTGGACTAGCTACTTGCGCGCGGTTTTACCCGCTCTGCTCGGCTCCTATTGATCGTAGCAAGATGTTTCATAGCCTATAGCCTTCCTCGATAAATGGACTATCCAACACAAAAAAAGAATTATTCAATTCGAATCAGTAGTTTCGGAGATCAGCGTTCAATCAAACAAACAAAAAAACAAACTCTTCAGCTTTATAATATTAGTATAGATTAAGGACTAAGGACTAAGCTTGGAAACAAGGAAACATTATCACAAAGTATCCTTCGAGTAAATTCAATCAGCTCGTTTGCCTTCTATCAAACAAGCTGACTGATCACCTGACGGTAAGCAATCAGCACCAGAGTTGAGAGTCGTCACAAGTGCGTTCCCGACCTTATACCTACTATTGTGAATTTGTATTGCGTAGGTACACATTTATTAATCTCTGATTCATAAGACTTAAGACTTTATTATGGCATTCGTTTACATCATTAACAACAAATTGCTGTGTTTTAAAAACACACGGTTATAACAAAATAACATGTTTTCCTTTTTCCGACACATGTGCGATATTACGAAGCACTGAACAGTGCTGATAATTATAGGGGTATCATCACAAATAGCTTTTATTTATTTACTTTATGAATAGGTCGAAGTTGAATTATTGCTATTGCGCACAATCGAAAAATAATAAAGGAAGATTGCTACCTAGGAAGATACTCCACGATGGAAATTATTGAGGAAATACAAACCATCACTACGTGTATTTCCTTAAAAAAATAAGGTGCCGATGATCCATCGATGATCCATTTAGTACATATCTATTGTAGTACTTATACAATTAACATTATATTCTCATAATTCGTTTAGGGTTAATCCCAAGATGATTTTAGTTTAATCATAGAGATATATTTATTAATAAAAACCATTTCGCACATAATCAGTCACTAAATATAGGGTTTCAAGTGCTTTTCAAGAAGAAGACCACAGAAGATACCAATAAGACTAGAAAAGACCAAGATATTAAACTAGATGATTTCTTGCCAGCGACTACTGTTAAATTCGAGTACATTCCATCAACGACTAATTAAGATATTTGTACATACTTATAACAATCAATATGCAATTAAAAACTTTCCTACACAGATTAACTGATGCACCCAAATATTTCCATATTTGTTGATATTTCATAATCACACCGCAATAACAATGTGTGAACTGTGAGTTGCATCATAATGATTATAAAGAGCGAGATAGCAGTAACAACTGGTAATGTTTATTATTTAATTTAATTTTACTTATCTATTTAGTTCGACAATGTACATACATAACTTATATGTCTATTTGTACTACGTAATATTTGTCGCTTAAGCAGTGTCACTGAATTAGAATAATTTCAGCTCTCTTTAGCGAGGTGATTTATAGGTTCGATGTGGTATTAAAAAGAGACCGGGTCATCGGGTATTTCCTTGATCTCTGATATATATGACTTTTTTAAAGAATCTGTGACCTCAAATCCACATACAAAGAGCATGGCATTGTCAAACCTTCTTATGTAGAGAAGACCTTTAATCCAGCAGTGGACAGTCACTAAGGGTTGTCGATGATGATGACGGGAATTGGGTGGATACCCACGGATATAAATTAGGTACTGAACTTTCATGAAATTTTTCAAATTCAAATTCAAATCATTTATTGCGAATATAGGTCAAGTGTAGATGTTACAGTAGGTGTAGATGTTACAGTAGTGAAAGGTCTATTGATGGCCAGAAGCACTATATGAGTAGGTACTTGGTAACTTGGTAAAAAGAGTTTGTGGTAAGCTGGTGGACTCAATCGATTTTGATATTTGTTATTTTTATCGAGTTTAAATAGAGGAGGCACCAGTTACCACCACTATGTTCGGATTATTTGTTTGTTCACGGGATATGATTGGAAGTGGGTGATTCGGTCCAAATCAATATAATTGCAGCTCTCATCGCGTTAAACTCGTTTTTGCCGAACTGTGCAAGAGTGCAGCTTTGTATTTCAGTATCGATATGGACACTATTGTAATGTAGGCTGAGAGTCCGGACTTTGGTTGGACGCGATCTCACGCGTCTTGATTAAATGTGTCATCATCAAACTACATCTGCGTACGTACGGCAACGAAACCCAATGAATTCATAGTACGAGAGCTGACGACCAAAATTTTTGTCTCATAGCAATACGGCCAAAACCGCATCAAATCGATAGATATGATTATCCTGAACTTGAAAATACCAATATCAGGCATTTTCCGCGTAGCGTTTGATCTGACCGAATTTTCAAAATTGTCAAAGAATTTTACCAAACTGCATCATAGCATATGTCTGATTTGCTGACTGTGGTTGAATGATAGTTCTGAGATACCGGAAACATATTTTTTTCAGACGTTAGTGGTTAGTGTGTGTGTGTGTGTATCAGCCAGTAAGTCTGGTAGACCTTTTAGTGACCGACTAGTCTACCAAAAATGAAGAGTGAAGAGAAGAATGAGAATTAAAATAGGAGTGTTTCTCCACGATAAGCAAAGGGGCAAGGCCACGGGCAGCAACTAGTATCATCTATTTATCAAACTCCCAACTTACGTATGTCAGTAATGTAGATAAGATATCAAAATTTTATTTTATTAAAAAATTTATTATTATACTTAAGTAATCAATCGTAATCATTTTTATCAGGTTTAAAGGGGGAGGTACCTTTGAGTTTGTATCGTAAGATCGAATAATAAGATTGTCGTATGTAATAGATATAGCAGGCGCCAGAAAAACAACTTCCAAAAAAAGAAATGTTGCGTTTCTTCTTTAATTACAAATAATATAAACTTAAATAAAATGAATAGTATTTTTCGTTTGTCGTTTTATACAGCCGCGCCGTATCTACCGTATCCATTATACAGGGCCCCCAAACTACGGGGGCCCCCGTATAATAATAATAATAACATAGATACCTATCGACATTGGATATTTACCAAAAATAATGAAAAGTGTTAATAATATAGTTCAAAGTACTAGTTATGTATGTATAGGTAGGTACTTATACAATACTAACTAGTAATTTACTTATATTTCTAACATTGTTTAGTTCGCAACCTGCGATCATCGCATTTTGAACTTTAAATTCTATTTATTAAGAAATTCATTTAATATTTGACAATAAAATATAGGTGGAACACTTAAAATGGGTTATTTATTTAATTACAAAGAACTAGAAATTTGGGACCACTGAGTAGGTACGTAGCTGACGGTAAGTAGGTAGTTAAATTCAGTACCTTTAATATGATTTAACAAATACAACAACATACATACAACAACAACATAACGTCACGCCTTTTATCCCCGAAGGGGTAGGCAGAGGTGCACATTATACCACTGTACAATGTAACACCCACTTTTCACTATTTATGTTATGAGTCCCATGTAATAGGGGGTGAGCCTATTGCCATATACCGGGCACAATTCCAGACTCCGTGCTACTACTGAGAATTTTTTAAAAACCCAGTAATACTTTGCCCGACCCGGGAATCGAACCCGAGACCCCTTGCCCGGCAGTCGCACTTGCGACCACTCGGCCAACAAGGCAGTTAACAAATACCTTACGAATGAAAATATTTCTGAAGTACCTAGATACACATTTACTCAAAACTTTATTGCATTCCATTATATGTATTACAAGTTAATTACAACAGACACAATTATGGACCCTGACGGTCACAGCAAAAGTATTTTTTTTTATAGAGGGGAGGATGAAGAGCATATATTTGAAATATCGAATACGAGAAGGCAATTTCAAAGTTATACCTCATAACCAATCGATTAATTTTACATAGGTATTATTTTTTAAATTAATAGCTAAACATTAACACTGAAGATAAGACAGCCACCTACCTATTTCTACCCACATTTTTTAATATTATGTTGTTGACGTTCAAATTCAAAAGTGCTTTCCTGGACTAATTGAAATTAATGGGAAAAACTGAAGTAGTGAGTAGTACTAGTTACAGAATTATACTTTCGATCTCCTTCGATTTCTGTTCTAAACTAAGGTGGTTAAAAATGGGTTGGTTTATAAATCTATCCACCTGATTTTTGCCTGGCAAAGTAGCAATGGTGAAACTGAATGTTAATGTTATAAAATTTAAACACATAGGTAGGTAATTAGGTACCTATGTGTATGCATCACCCATGTATTTTGTACCTACTTATAATTCTTATACTATTATATCTTATATTCTTATACTATTATTAAAGCGGAAGAGTTTGTTTTTTTGTTTGTTTGTTTGAACGCGCTAATCTTCGTAACTACAAGTCTGATTTGAATAATTCTTTTTGTGTTGGATAGCGCATTTATCGAGGATGGCTCTATGCTATAAAACATCACGCTACGACCAATAGGAGCTGAGCAGAGCGTGTGAAACCGCGCGGAAGTAGTTAGTATTTTATAGTTTGCACGGTTGGCGCGGTGGCTGGGCAACCGGCTGCCACGCACTGATATTTTGATTCCTGCAAAGAGCAACCTCTTGTGTGATCCTCAAATTGTTTCGGGTCTGGGTGTCATATATATGAACTTGTATGTTTGTAAACGCACCCACGACACAGGGCAAAATCCTAGTATGGAATAACGTTTAAAAAAAAGTGTCGTTATGACATGACATATTTATCTACTTAGTGATAACTGATAAGGCTAGCCGTGGGTTCAAGTCCAGCCAAAAATGGATGTGTGACTTAAGATTGATTAATTCAACCAGTTCTATTGTCCAGTCCATTCTATTCTACTTAAAGAAAGTACCTATAAATACACCGACAAAGTTTAAATTTAGAAGGGGCATAGTTCAATTAATCCAGAAGTAACACGAATCTAGATGTGCGTTACTGACCTTTTCTAGATAGAAATAGGTCGAAGAAAAGAGTTTTTAAATCTTAGTTGGTACCTAATATTATAAATGTGAAACTTTTTGAGTGTGTGTGTGTGTGTGTATGTGTGTTTGTTACACAATCACGCCAAAAACCGCAAAAGAGATCGAGATGAAATTTGGAACAGTGGAAATTATGGTCCGGACTCTGGAATACCTATTACATAGATAAAAAGTAGCATTTTATCCCACGGTGATGTAGATGAAGCGGCTGGCAGAAGTAAATTTTAATATATAATTACTTAATAAGGTTTTTTTAAAAAAAATACCTACCAGTAGATACTTATAATAATAAATAGAGAATCAATAGTTATGAATAATTATGACAGATGACAGTGCTAATAAATACAAGCTACGATCAGATTTAATTTTTTATTGTTACCTACTCATTTTACATGTCTGATATTGCGCGTCAAATTATTGCATAGTGTCGCGTCGCCTTAATTCGATAAGTCAACATTTATTAATTCATATTTTGCAGGATATATATCGGTTTATTTGTTTAATGTAAGTATGTCTACTGAGTACATCGGCGTGTAATTTATGGACGCGCATACCAAGTTTGTGTGCGTTAATCTTGTATCGCACTTACTTGTATCTTTCATGGCGAGTTCGTCTTCGGTCAACACGGACAACGGTTGAGGAGTGACCACATCCGAGCTGTAATTCCTGTGCACTTTCGCCGCAACCACGGGAGCCCTCCATTGCTCCAGAATCTGCAAAACCGGCTACTTTTAAACAACTTTTCTACATAATTATTATCTAACTCAATCGATTATCGACATCAATATTCATAATGTTGGCTGAACTTTAAAAAAAAATCGAATTTGAATTTAAATCGAACCATAGTGAAATATTTATTTTTAATTATTGAAGCACTGATCACACACCTTGCTGCCAACGCGGCGTAATGGGAACATTGTTGTTTTATTTATTTTATACTGTTTTCAACAGGCAATGGATGCGGCCGCGCCTGCGTTGAGCGAACTCCGAGTCGAACTGACTAACAGAGTTGATTTCTCGGGACCGGTATGTTATCTCACTCGCACGAAGATAACGTGTTTCGAGTTCGACCAAATCTACTTTGGTGACCTTGACTGTTACAAAATACCAATTTATTATGCTCTATTATCTTTGTCCATTATTTTAAACATTTGTATTATGCCATTGGGTACATACTTACCTACCTATTATGTTACTGACTAACCGTGATAGTGTTACAAAATATTTTACTTTCTAAGTAAAGTAGGTATCTAAAACTAAAGAAGCTATAGACATCTACAATTTGTTTTTGATCAAAGCTTTTATTTAAGTAAACGGCTTATCTCTCATTCTCTTTCGCTAGCGAAGCTTTTGCACAGGGTATAAGTAGATACTTAGTTCTATTGTAACTAGGTAATTGATTTGTTTGTTGTGTTTAATTTATATGTGTATTTAATTAATGTATGATTGTGTTTTATTTTAATTAAATTCTACTTGTTGCTTATTATATTGCTTTTATTTGACTTTCTTGATTTTTATGGGATTATTTTTTAATTTTGGTTCAATTATCAAAACCGTATTCGACGCAAATGTAAATTTGTTTATGAATAAATAAATAAAGATTCATAACAGATGATTGTGTAGCACGAGAACCGGTGAACTTAGTGCGTGCGTGCACCAATTTCTTGTAAGTCTTTTGACTTTTTTGTTGTTATGAGTTACGCTTATGTAGGCCCTTCTTTATTATATCTGTGTGTAGGCCTATCTAGCTACAAAGAGGTTTTAGTATGTACCAGAGTCCTGTTATTCTCAGTAACTTCTGGTTTCTTGGTTTAAGACGCATAGATCCCGGATCACACACGGCTTCGGTAATGGCGTCAATACCATTTATTACATTGAAAATGATAAAAGAGAACCGATTGTATTTACCTAATCTTGAATACTTAAGTACCTAAGTAAAGTAAGTCTTAAATACCTACTTAAGAATTTTTTTTATGGACTAGGAGAGGAGGCAAACGAGAAACGAGCAGACGGATCACCTGATGGTAAGCGATCAGCGCCACCGATGGACACTCGCAATCGCAACACTAGAGGAGTCACAGGTGCGTTGCCAGCCTTTTGTTGTACCTATCTATTTCACAGTTCTAAGTAACTATAGGTGTAACCATTTATGTACTTAATGTTTGTTTTTGTTGTGTACCTACACAATGCTGTTTACCTACTTAGCAAAAAATTAAGTCTGTTTATGTTCGTGTTCTTGTTGCTTGTTAAAATCACTAGGCACATTGTCATCAGCCAGCCTACACAGCGTTACAGTTAATAACAACTTTACAAAAATGATTAATTTTGATAAAAATTGCAAATTAGATCAAACCCAAACACCCATGGTAATAATTACTGAAATGTACCCCTAATACCAAGTCAATTTTTTGTCCCATTGGAATATTTCCATTTTATTGATGCATGCATGCGCATGTACATATTGTACATACCTACTAAAGGTATGTACATGCGCTTCATTTTTCGTAATTGATTTTGCAATTAGTTTAAGTATTTATTTTTTAAATGGTTTTTAAATAAAGCGTAAACAGAACACAGTAAACTGCTATCACGCCAGTAAAGTTGCTGTGTGAAACGAAACGTATTTTCTTTTGACAGCCGGACGTATTGCTAAAGTTGGTATCTCTGTTTTCTAGAATCACGCAGAAACTGTCAATTTATTGCCATACTAAATTAACATATACAAAAACATGGAAAAATATTAAATGATGTAATTTTGTGAATTACTTAGCTTTTATTATTACTATTCTATATTGAATATATATTAACTATATTGAACAGTAATTATATCAAAGAAATGATATATGTTAGCTCTCAAAAGATAAAATCAAGTTATTGTGATATGGTTGTGTTGTTTGTGTTTGGTTTTGTAATATAAGTGTAACCTAACTCAAACTGTCTCCGGTAACCACCACAAGCCAGAATTCCCAAGTCCTTCCCCCATCTCTGATCTCGAAAGAATGTTATGAATGTTCATGGACGGTGCTGATTTGATTACTTAGGAACTCTCAGGTGGTCTATTTGGTTGTTTGCCAACATATCCTATATTTAATAACCTAATTATTGAATTAATACACTTCCAACGAGGAAGCAACAATGATTGTTAGTTTGTATAAAAAAATTAATACATATAAATATATGAGACTTAAGGGTAAATTAAATTATATGGTGGCAACATCGTAACTGTCACTTGGAAATGGCATGCTTCATTTCTTACCAGACTATTCTCGAAAAATACGAGAAAACGAAGTGATTCGCAACTAGCACGCGGGTTATTTGTAATCATATTGTGTGTTGAATCAATCTCTAGCGTTACGATCGGGTTCGCTGATCACAACGTGTCAAAAATCTTGACTGTCACGGTTTTGACTTACTCCGTGTGTGGTGTCCTCAAGAAAAGCTGTTAATTCTAAGACCTTGTGTGTATAATCAATCTTGAAAAATGGCCAAATGGGGCGAAGGTGATCCTAGATGGATTGTGGAGGAGCGGCCAGACGCTACAAATGTGAACAACTGGCATTGGACGGAGAAAAATGCAGGACCGTGGTCAAAGGAACGGCTAAAAGAGCTGCTGAATAATTTCAAGATAGCTCAAAATGGTGTAGATTGTAAGGTGACAGAGGTGGAGAAGATGGACGGTGAGGCTTCAGCGAATAATAGGAAAGGAAAGTTAATATTTTTCTATGAATGGGATATTAAATTGAAGTGGGAAGGCACTTTGGCTGGTAGCAAAGATGTCGTGAAGGGAGAAGTGAGCATCCCGAACTTGTCGGAGGAGAATGATGTTAGCGAAGTGGATGTGAGTATTCCTACTTTATTTAGTAATTTATTTGTTTCCTAGCTAAGCAATTTGACATTGAAATAACATCTGTTTGTATAACCTAGAACTCTATTCCATATTCTTATTAACTGTTTTGATTTATGCTGATTTCTAGCATGCAGGCTGACTGTACAGAACTTTGATCACATAGATAAATAAATAACCTATAGTAATTTGTATGGTATCACATAAAACCTCCATGTTCATTCATATTTTATCATAAAACCTACAAATTAAAACCACAGATAGGAAGTAAGTGGTTTTTGTTTGATAATGGCACAATGGGTAAAAAGCTTTGCTTGATCACTTAGTTATAAATTGGCTAAAACTAAGATAATGTATGTAAAACATGTGCAAATGAAAAAAGATAATAAACGAAAATGTAACAAAGTTAACTGCATTAATTTAATAAACTGTGTGAATGCAAGAGTAAAGAAATGAAAATATATTTATGGTATAATCAGTTGCCAATTGATTTTTACTATCAATAACATCCTGTTGTCTAGATTTTTTTCTGTATTCTTATTGATATATTTTCCATTCTTATTGGAATATTGCATGAATATAAAGTTACTGGCAATCTTGTGACTAAAGAGAATATGTGCATAAATAAATTCTTGAAAACAGCTATGGTTAAACTGAAATGTAAAATTCAAAGAATTTTATATGTATTCAACTGTAAATCGAAATTTACATTTTGTTATTGGGTAAAAAATGCTTGTCATGATTCTGATGCGAATTTCTGTTCAGGATCTCATTTGATTTTCCATTTGATAAACTGACTTTTATTGTAAAATCAATGTAGATGATTAAATTCATTGCAACTGATGCATGGCTAATATGTATTGTATGAAATGAGGTATTGTTTAATTTAAAATACTTTATAATTCACAAAAAAATAGATAGAGATATCCATGCTGCTAACAGAAGCCTAAATAAATTAACATATCAGCATATTTCTAATAAGTTTTTACAAAATCCCATTTCAGATTTCAGTCACAATCAAAGGCAGCGGTGAGGAAGCTCAGAGAGTCAAAGCGTTTATGCACAATGTAGGCCGAGATAAAATCCGGAAGCAACTCTCCGAGTATGTCCGTAGTCTCAAAGAGGAATTCTCCAAAGGTCTCATTCTACCCAAGAAAGGAGAAACCACCGTAAAACCAGATAATGTCTCGATGATCACCAGCGGTTTCAATAAGAAAGTTAGCATGGACCCCATAGTGGCTCCGAAGAATAATCAGATTGGTTGCAAGTTGGATACGAAGAGCATTGAGTTGTCGGAGAAGTTCCAGTGTCGTGCACAGGAGTTCTACGATGCTATGACTCGAATAGAAATGGTTACTGCATTTACACAGGTATAATTTACTTTCTATCTTGTAACTCTTATAAGAATTATTTCTCATTGCCATTTATGAAACAGGAGAAGGGGATAATCTTGGAAAATGTTACAACTGTGTTCAATGAAGGTCATTTTTAAGTTGGTAAAGGTTAGAACTTAGAAGGCGTCAAATTACATAAAGCTACAAATACATAAGTATAAAAAATACCTCATTGGCCGAGTGGTTGCAAGTGCGACTGCAAGGGGTTTTGGGTTCGATTCTCGGGTCGGGCAAAGTATTACTGGGTTTTAAAAAAATCTCAGTAGTAGCACGGAGTCTGGAATTGTGCCCGGTATATGGCAATAAGCTCACCCCCTATTACATGGGACTCATAACATAAATAGTGAAAAGTGGGTGTTACATTGTACAGTGGCATAATGTGCACCTCTGCCTACCCTTTCGAGGATAAAAGGCGTGATGTTATGTTATGTGTGTATAAAAAAAATATTTTCTTATAGGGTCATGTGAAAATGGAAGCGGAGAAGGGTGGCAAGTTTGCTCTCTTTGGCGGGAACATTACGGGCGAGTTCAGGGAGCTGGTGCCTCCTAAGAAGATAGTCCAGTATTGGCGGTACAAACAGTGGCCGGACCAACACTTCTCTGAAGTCACATTTACTATTGATGAGAAGGTAAGCTCTTTAAGGCATTTTGATCTGTATTCTGTTTTACAAGGCAAAAGGAACTGCTTTTTTTTGCTATTCATGAAGATTTTAGCATTTACAAAGTAGGGTTTATTTAATGAATTTAGTCATGTATTATTTAGGTCCTAAATGAAGCTCCTTGCATCTCCTAAATTTTAGGAGATGCAAGGAGCTTCAGTTATTAACATGATTCATCTTTGTTCTTGAAGGTCTTGGTTGAATGTGAATATGTCTGTTCAATTGAACTATTTCCTTTCACTTGAACTAATTGGGATAAATGCGTAACTTATCTTAAAGCTTTTTAAGTCCTGTTTTATATTTCTGCCACAGCGAGCGTTAAAATGTAAAAACCAACCACTTACCAAAATATAAACAGTACCTTATTTTGTACCTAATTATCTAAATTATTAGGTCACTTGTCCCTTATAATCTTCATAATATTTCCAGGACGACCACACCCTGGTGACAGTGAAGCAGGACCTGGTCCCCACCGCGGAGGTGGACCAGACCCGCGACAACTGGCGGCGGTACTACTTCGACAGTATTAAGCGCGCGTTCGGCTTTGGAGCGTTCCTGTGATGCGGTACGCTAATTAGGTACGTTGATTGAAGTCACTGGTGATTTCTGAGTTTTAACCTCATGTCTGTCGATATATAAGACACAATAAAAAACACATTGTCGCGTGTAAATCTGCGTTTCGATAGACAAGAGGTTGAAGTGCTTTTTATGATCTTTTAACTGATTGGATGAGTACATAATGACGAGTATATGTTGATGTTGGGGGTCCCGTCTGCTGCGCCATCCGTTCGGCGATTGCGAAGTCGTCGTAGAACCTTTTTTTTAAGCCTTTAACTGCCGGTAAAAACTGTTAAAGGCTAATACTCCGCTAGTGTCGGACATCATTGTCCTAAACGGCAAACGTACCCCCCCCCCCCCTACTAGTATTTTCTCCTGTGTCGTGGGTGCGCTTACAAACATACAAGTTCACAATTTCACATACACATGACACCCAGACCCGGAACAACAATCTGTGGGTCACATGAAGAGGAATTCCGTGCGGGAATCTAACCCGCGACACGTTGCCCAGCCACAATGCCAACCATGCAGTCAACTGTGCCCTTTATAATGTAACTTAAATAAATAACGTTACGTAACTGGCACTGGCTGCTGGTTTATTGTTGTACATTAAATTGCATATCGATTTCTTACAATTTCTTTTTTGCATCTTGGTAATTAACAACTACTTTGATAACCGAAAACAATATTAATAACTAGATAGAATTTTCACTATTAATAATCCAAATATTATTTGATATTTCGTAAAATTTTGAGTCCCATTGTTTTGCAATAGTCTCATCAATCAAACGGGACTTTTATTATAATTATTATATTTTTTCTCTTTCCAGGTTGAATTTTAACAGTAAAGCGGTTCTGTTGAAGATAGCACCCGTAAACGACATGTTTTGTAAAATGCAAGATTTCATTTTATGTAAATTTTGTAATGAAACTGTGATGAATAACTTAATTATGCCGGTTTGTGAATGCGCTGCGGATATGAATTCAAGGCTTGTAGTTAGAACAAATAGTTTTTTTAATTTCAATTTCTGCGGTTTAGGCTCGAGGTAGTTTCTGTGAAGTGGCGCTAGTGTCGAAAATTGTCACCTTATTTAAAAGGGATTAACGTGGGTTTACATTCAATGTAGTCTTTTTAGCCCTAGAATTAAAGGCATGATATTTAATAATGTGTTGAAATATGAAGATAGCAAATAGATTATTACTCCATATTTTCTACTGGTGAATGAAAACTGTACTTTAAATGTATGCCATTAGAGCCCTTTCAATACGAGCAGACATGATTGTGTCTTATTTCTTTTGGAATAGAGTCTATAAGAAGTTTCATTGTTGTGAATTCTTATTGCAAGCCATGCTAACATGAACACACGCCTATGCTATCGCAATTTTAAACTTTATCACAATATGTATTAAGTTGAATGTGTATAAATGTCCTAAATTACTGCTTTCTTCATCCTGGGAAGGTGATTTCAGTATGGATGATCATGTGTGATGCTTTATTACTCAATGAATTGCAAGGCAAACAGCACTTTGTACTCCAGATATAAAGTTTAAAATCGAATGCCAATGGCTTCATAGTTACTAATAATAATAATTATATTAATGTTATCCAAATAGTTTAGGAAATAAATATACAATTGTTGAGGTAATGATTTCTGATGACTTAAGTTGTACTGCCATGTATCTACCTCGTTTAGTGGCTTATGAAGATGTAACTTAAATATAATCAAGTCATCATTCTTCCCCTTTAGTCATATTGAACCGATTTTAAATAAATAGTAGTTGTGTGTTTTGTACTTACAATTTTATATTGAGAATCTTGGCTGTTGTGTAATATTTTTTCCAGTGATCGAAAATGCAATACTTTTAATGATATGGGTTTATCAACTAGTCATTTGTCATAATTTTATATAAATTTTCTACGTGATTTCATACTTTTGTGCAATTTTAATTTAAAACTTAATCTACAAGAGTTTACTATGTATAATGTATTTCGCATTTCAGCAGCTGTAGTCGAATGCCATTTAGCGCTTGTCTACTTGTAGAATAGAAAACCAAATTATATGGAATTGACGTAAATTTTGACACTTGTCAGTGTCATTCCTATACATTTAGTTTTCTACTCTCTCTGTAGACAAGCGCTAATGTGTTGTTTGGCTAAAGGCCCTGCTATGCTTAGATGGCGCTGCCGGCGTTTATTTCCCACTCACAGTTAAACAGCCAAGATTATCAATACAGAATATCTCGATCTAGCCTTGAATTCACGTCCATAATAACTAATAAAGAAATAATAAGGATCTTATAAGCTAATATTAGTTTGCGTCTAGAACATCTAAATTTCGTCGTTAACACAGATTATACTCAAAATAGTACATAATAGTACGAGAATTATACACCCTCTTAATCAAATAGAGTTATACTTATGTACTGTTGTTTTTTTTTAGATAATTAAGATATTGCTGGCTGTTTACTCTCATACAGGTAGTGTCTTGACATAATAAGAAAACTCTAGCTATATTCGATTGTATTAAAAAATATCTACCTATACGTTTATATTTTAATGGCATTTAAATTTAACAAAATTTTATGTAATAAGGTACAAAAAAGTATGTATAATTTTTTTGTATAATTTTGGCTGGTAATTTATAAATGATCCGATATTTATAGCTTGATTTTCCTGTGCACGCGATCCTGAAAAGCAATTTCATTTGGTTTTTCGAAGACTGAACTATATTAATTTGGTAAGCGTAAGCGCATACATGCTGTCTCTTATTCTAACCTAACTTATATGCTACAGAAAGAGAAAGCACTGATTGGTATTGTTCGGTCTTTGGCCCATCGCAAATCGTCAGAGGCGCGGCGAACGCACTGAGAATAAATCAAATTTAAAGTAAACCTTAACTTCGAAAGACATATGGATGAAAATCGCATGGAAAATATCGATTTTAGAGGGATGTGAGTAGTGCGTCGTCTTTCGCTTCTTTGGCATGCCATTTTCTTGTGTATGTCATAGAAGTTAAGGTTTATTTTTCTCAGTATCTTCGCCGCGTCTCCGCCAGTTTTAGCTGGGTCCTACCTACTTCGTATATCTGTGTTCCCGAATCAATGTTCTTAGCTTATTTCTGTAAGTAGCTGATTTACGATTTTTTTTAATTTATGGGATTTGATTCACCAATAAATTATGTTAGACATAATTTGGTTTTTTATTTTTATTCACCTTTTCATATAGAAACGAGGGCTAAAGTTTTAAGCTCACGAAATGTTGGTAATGTAGTGCTAACCTATTTGTCTAATCACAAACTGTTTAAAATTCGGTACTTACCTTAGTAAAAATAATTTATTTCGACTGTTCAATACGATAAAATATTAAAAAAATAATCACACTTTCATTAATTGATTTTATGACCAACTTAATATAAGTATTTCTCTACAATTTTTTAAGAAATAAGTATGCTGTTTTACGCACAAAAAACGTGACGTCACAATACAATCTCGTACGTACGAAATTCATAGAAAACTGTAGTTTTTGACAGTTCGAAAAAAGTATTGAATTTGACTAGTTGGCAAGTAAACTAGGAGATAGCACCATCTAGTGGTCACAAAAATGATAACTCTCATTTAGGTAGGTTCCGTACCGTTAATGGAGATGAGTGATGAGAAGTAATAATATAATAATAAAATTTTTATTCATATGAACACTGGTCAACATAGGTACAAAAATATCTTAATTAAGCGACAAGATCTTAAAAATAATATGCCTATACTAGGAATATTCCTGTGTCACAGGCGACAGGAGCTCTAAAAATATGTTACTGATAAGACAACTTATTTATAGTATATTTAAAATATTTAACAGAATTTTCAGAAGTAAGGTAGGATTGTTTAATATACTACATTACATACATACATACATACATACATATAATAACATCACGCTTTTTATTCCCTGAAGGAGAATAAAAAGTTGAACCTACATAATACATTAATATAAAATTAAATAAAAGCTATATTCGTATATAATCTAGGTAATATTACATATTACAAGGCTATCAATTATTTTAGATCGTCTGCAGAAACACAAAAAACTAGGTCAGAGTCCATACGGTCACTCACTTGTTACACTTAGATCAAATGTGCTTGGACAGCAATAAATTGCTGAGTAAGCCAACCTGTTAATGTGCAATTGTTATACAAGTGAACTAAACTAAACGAAATGACTAATCGAATTGGAATTCTGACTTCGAGCATTTTCTCTTTATGCGCCTTCATAATCGATGGAATTGATATATCTGTGTTCGGCTATCTTCCTGGCTGGGCACTCTGCGTCTCCTGTCTTGTGACTGTTGGGCTTGTTAAAGCGAGAGCATGTGGTACATTTTGGGGAATCGATTGTCTTCGTGCACACGGATGTCATGTGTCCTGTTTCTCCACAATGGCCACACACTGAGTAGAGCTCCCGGCATGTCTTTGCCGCGTGGCCATACTGCTGACATTTATAGCAACGCGTTACTAACGTGAAGTCTCTGACAGGGCAAGACGTCCAGTTTATATAGAGTCTCTCTTGCAATATAAGCGCTTTACGAATGTTGGCTGGAACTTCGATGATGTAGTTACAAGTCGGCGCGTCTTTTCTGCCAGATTTGTGACTTAACTTCACACTTGTTAGGAAAGACTCTATAGTCAACTCTTGGAGCTTACCAGCTATGTTTTGTTCAAATATGCACCTGAGGACATCAGCATCGGATAAAACAGACGGCACTCCTAGAACTGTGATTCTTGGTTTTCGTTTTTTTGCTTCATCGGCAATAAGTCCAGACGATGATAGGGCTAGTGCGTCTTTAACTTTCTTAGCATCTTCTTTAGACTCAGTGCTGATTATAACGCCTCCGTTATGGATTTTACGCACACCACGCACATGTAGCTGCAATTGGTCAGGGCGTATGATTTTTTGGACGAGAGATTTTGTTTCATCGCTAGATTTTGACTTATTTGCTGGGTAAATTGCAATAGAAGTCAGATTTGTAGGTCGCACGAAGTCAGTTCCCTTCTTTACCATGTCAGCAAATGAAACATTTCCCGTTGATGCTGAATCCTTGATAGTCTGCTTGATGTCCGAAATTTGTTCCATAAGAAGTATAATGAAAGTTAATATATTTTTGTTAATATAAGATAAATAATTCGATACGTGTTTGTTAACATCATTAATAATTGAGATCGTGACCTCATTAAGAGTTTAATAAACAAACTTATTACAAAAGGAAACAATGTACTCACTTCTTAGATTTCATCAGTTTTTGAGAATATTTTCCAAATCTTACTTATTAACACCGGACAAGGGGTCTCAGGTTCGATTCCCGGCTCGGGCAAAGTAAAACTGGGTTTTTCAAAAAAAACCTCAGAAGTAGCACGGAGGCTGGAAATGTGCCCGGTATATAGCAATAGGCTCACCCCCTATTACATGGGACTCATAACATAAATAGTGAAAAGTGGGTGCTACATTGTACAGTGGCATTAAGTGCCGTAATATGAACTAACCTCTGCTTGCCTTCGGGGTTAAGTATGTTATGTACTTACTAATATATTTTGTAATAAAAACATACAAACAGATTTTTTTTATTTCAAAAATGAAATCTGCTACTGTTATTGAGTCACCCTGTTTTTGATTGTTTTTAAAAAGTATTGTTTGTACAAACTCGATATTTTTACTGTCTTTTTATAAGTAGACTAAAGATCTGCAGACTAAAGTGGCAATGGGCAGGCCACGTCGCTCGAAGGACTGACGGCAGATGGGCCAGGAAAGTCCTTGAGTGGAGACTACGGACCGGAAGACGAAGCGTGGGCAGGCCTCCCGCTAGGTGGACCGTCGACATCGCCAGAGTTGCGGGGAGCCAGTGGATGCAGGTGGCGAATTGTCGTTCGACGTGGAGGACGAAGGGGGAGGCCTTTGTGCAGCAGTGGACGTCTTCCGGCTGTTGATGATGATGTCGCGGAGAACCTAACGGGTTACCGGGGCTCCGGCTCGACGTACAGGAGAAGGAACGGGGTGGTTTTTAGTCAGTAAGAGTCATTCGCTTATTTCCCCCCTTAAAAAAATATGTAGGTAGGTATGTATATATAGATTTTTAGCTACCTTAAAAAAGGAGGTTATTAAGTGAGACTAAAATGTTCTTTAGAATAATTTATCTAACAAAAAAGCTAGCTTCTACTAGCGGTTTCATCTGTAACGATGATCATGATGCTTATTATGATGTATCGGTAGAAACAGGCCCAATTTCTTACGAATATAGCCACGTGCCAAACAAATACGTTGTCCTCGTTTGTAACAACGCAAAATATACACTATCAAAGTCGTGACCCGAGATACAAGAGGCGAATTTATCATTACTGTGAACACTCAGTTATTCTTGAACCTTCCGTTAAATATGAAGTATATGTGGTTACTGTGGTTATTTGTGGTGCTACCAACGGTATGTATCAGTTTTTTTTACGATTTTAGGAATAAATCATATCGTCACAAAGATTTTACTTAAAATTAAACTTTATACCTTTAAACGTAGTAACGTTTATTTTTCTATCATACTCATTTATGTGACGGTAACGGGGACAGGGTGCAAGGGGGTGCCCTGATAAACTCCTTTTCGAATTAAAATAGTGTTACTCCAACTTCATTTTTATGTCATATAACAAATATTAAACACTCAAATATTTAAAAGAAAGATAGAAAAATGGTTTATTTGGCAAACCGTCACAAAGTACAATAACACATAAAAAATTAAACAATGAAGACGGTATTTCGATAACTAGAGGTCCTAAGAACATAACGGGTTACCGGGGCTCCGGCTCGACAAGCAGGAGAAGGAACGGGGTGGTTTGTAGTCAGTCTGACACTAAGGCGGGAACAGTCATTCGATGATTTTCCCACCTTAAAAAAAGCCAAAAAATAACTGAAGTTTCGAAACCCCCATGTATGTAAAGACATTTGCTGATTGAAGGACAGGATCAGAACGACCTTGGGTCAGAGTGACCTTGAGTGAAACCTCCAAACAACAAATCTAAGTTAGATCTGGTTGGTTAAATTAGAAATCTTGACATTTTCAGGTTTATGGGCAGTTTGGATTCGGAAAGTCATATTTGGGGAATTCCCGTTTGGTGAGTACCTAATTCATTAATGTGTGGGAGGGCCATGCTTCAGCACGAATGGGCCGGCTCGACCGGAGTGATACCACGGCCTTACAGAAAACCGACGGGAAGCAACGCTTGCGTTATGTTTCGTCGTAGAGTGAGGTTACCGGAGGCCTAATTACCCTCCCCTTCCCCAATCTTCCCAATCCCTGAATCCACAACGGTCCTCAAACTCCTAATCCCCAAAAAGCCGGTAACGCACTTGTAACGCCTCTGGTGTTCCAGGTGTCCATGGGCGACCCTGATTGCTTACCATCAGGTGATCCGTCTGCGCGTATACCGGCTTACGCCATAAAAAAATTGATATTATAGTCCATAGTTTTACTACGTCTGCAACCATCCTCTTAGCACTAAAGTCACTGTAAAATGCGGAACCCCAAAGTCTCAAGCATGTTTAAAAATAAGTTAATCAGTAAGTGCCTATTCATCCGAATAAGTATTGTGATAACTGCGTGACCGAAAAATAAGAACATTGTCGTAAACAACATAACTTCATCGCAACGTTTTAAAGATTTAAATAGAGGTTTATTTTGACTGTACGATTTGGTTGGTGCAACGGCTGCGCAACTGGCTGCTGCCATTGACTTCAATTTACTATTCTTAGTGTATATTGTCGCTCCACCTAGCCAGATGACAAATAATTTACTTTATATACCTAATACCATTACAATTATAAGTGTGGGGGCCCAATTACCCTCCTCTTCCCCAATCTCCCCGATCCCAGAATCCCCAACGATCTTCAAACTCCTAATCCCCAAAAAGCCGGTAACGCACTTGAAATGCTTCTGGTGAGAAGCGTTACAAGTGCGTTACCGGCGGCGTAGCCCATTGACACCTGGAAGGTGTTCCAGCCGATTGCTTACCATCAGGTGATCTATCTGCTCGTTTACCGGCTTATGCCATAAAAAAAATATAAAAGTCAAAGTCAAAGCATTTATTTCAATTAACCCTTAATTAGGCACTTTTGAAACGGTATCTTGTTAAACTGCCTTTTATGCGATACTAGCACCAAAAATCATCAACGCCAAAAATTCTCTAATTTATCTCATTTACTTTCCAGTGTCACCAATGGAACTGTATCAATGCAAAACTGGGTCTCGAAGACTCTTTACCACCTAAGGACCAGAGCGTAGCAGTACTTCGCCAGTTACTTCCTCAAGGACCATGGCAGGATGTGGTGGAAAATGTTGTGGAGCATTGTTATGTGAACAGGAGTCGAAGGTTTACCAATACCTGTCCAGGACAGGCCTTGATGCACTGCCTTGTGGATCAAATGATTGATGTGAGTTTTATGGCCATTGTTATAAGGAAGGTTTTTGCTTGGATTTGATCATGTTAATTTTCTGATTGTTATGTTACTTAAGACTTATATATTTCATTATTGGAACAACTTTGTTCTATTGTCACACTTTTAAGAAGTGTATTTTCTTCTAGCTTTAGTGCCATTAGGTACTAGATTTGCATTTTTTATAATTAGTTATTTGTCTTTCTTCAGTTTTGTCCTGTGACTAGTCTGAGAAAGGATGATTCCTGCTCCATCGTTACGTCCATAAACGGCATGAGATTTATGTTCTCACAAAGGTAAAGTATATATTTTTTTATGTATTTGCTGGGCCGACGTTTGCCACTATCTCGCCTGGTGGTAAGCGATGTAGCACGTCGTCCCATAGGTGACCTATTCACTCGAGTCTTGAAGATACCCAGGTTATACCCAGGTTCCCTTCAGGAAATACACACGCTGGTGAAGAAATATTTAATGTAGAAAAGCCGAAAACATTATTCTTTAAATTAACATATATACAGCATCCTTAAACATGGAATACTAAACTTAGACAGACCTATTCAAATTTTTGTGTTTCGCCATCCAGACCATTCATAGATAGACAAGCATAGTTTACCTTACAGCTCATACAGTCTCATCCTTCTGAATCTAGAATAACCTATGGATAGACGTGTCTACGTGGGGTTTTTTAAAGAGGGGAGCATAATTTCAATTCTAAAATCGTTCCGGAACTAGTATTTTTAATGGGCATCTAAAATTGTGAAGCAAGTGTGGGAGAGCCATGCTTCGGCACGAATGGGCCGGCTCGACCGGAGTAATGCCACGGCCTCACAGAAAACCGACGTGAAGCAACGCTTGCGTTTTGTTTCGTCGTGTGAGTGAGGTTACCCTCCCCTTCCCCAATCTCCCCAATCCCTGAATCCCCAACGATCCTCAAACTCCTAATCCTCAAAAGGCCGGTAACGCACTTGTAACGCCTCTGGTGTTCCAGGTGACCATGGGCGACGCCGATTGCTTACCATCAGTTGATCCGTCTGCTCGTTTATCGGCTTATGCCATAAAAAAATCTAAAAACGTTATTATTATAATTTCAGTCGTTATGCTGATTTGGAGAAGAATTTGCCAAGAGAACATCGTCCGACTTGGTTCTTGAAGAATGTAAGTTTGTATGTGTATTTACCTACATTCAAATATTCTGAAAATGAAAACGATCTGAAAATAGTTTGTTAAGTTGCATTAGTGAAAACTACTTCGCCGATTTTGATGACGTTTTTAAAGTCCTACGGATCTTTTACTTGTTGGAACCTGGGATGATTAATAAGAAACCTAAGTAGGTACTAGATATTTTGCTTTTCTATAAAGTTTAATGTATCGTAATCTCAAATATTTCAACAGTATTTTGACAAGAATTGCTGCGACTTGCCTGTGATATTCAACACGACGGTCCTCGAAGAGTGCGGCTTCAGTTATATGATGAACTACATCAATCATGGACTTAAACATCCCACACCGTCTGAAGCAACCACGGTAAGAATTTAAAGAACTTACAAATAATATAACGACCTTAACCCTTAGAGCGCCACGTCAGTCACCGGTGCCTGACGCTAGTGGAGGTTTGACTTTCACCATTTTAAACTTGGCAGTTAAAGTATTAATTTACTAATATACTTACCTTACCTTATCTACATATTGAATTGGTTTCAATACTAATAAACTCAATTAAAAATTGCGGTTTACTCACGTAAAACTATTGAGAACAGCTCTACTGGTTTCAAGTGTTTCGGGACTCTTTTTCATGAGTATCGGGCGTAGAAGCGTTCACGCATAGACTTTTCTATTAATTAACACATAACACAACATCACGCCTTTTATCCCCGAAGGGGCAGGCAGAGGTGTACATGCCACTGTACAATGTAACACCCACTTTTCACTATTTATGTTATGAGTCCCATGTAATAGGGGGTGAGTCTATTGCCATATACCGGGCACAATTCCAGACTCCGTGCTACTACTGAGAATTTTTTTAAAAAACCCAGTAATATTTTGCCCGACCCGGGAATCGAACCCGAGACCCCTTGCCTGGCATCGCACTTGCGACCACTCGGCCAACGAGGCAGTCTTTTCTATTAATTCTCATGAGTAAAACGTTATATACCGACGAGCATGCATGAAAAGATTGATGACTGTTGATGTTGTACAAAGAGGTATGTAGGAATCGTAGTAATTGGCGTTTCATAGTTTCTGCCTACCCTCATGGGAGACAGGCGTGAAGTTATCACAAACTTCTTCTAGTTTATGTATGTATGTATGTATGATACATTTTTTTTTTGCTTTTGCAGGTATTACCAATGACTACCCCTGTTCCAACCACAGCTACTGACTCAGGTGACGGACTCAAAATTGTTGATTTGAATACAATACAAGAAAAGTCTACAAATGTAATGATGACATTCTATTTATTTAAACCATTAACCTATTTTCAAATTACAAATTTGCCAAAGAAAAAGTATAAGAGTTTTCGTGGGACATACTGTAACTTTATTATGTTTTCGGCTTACTCACGCAATTATTTGACGAGGAACTCGACTAGTTTCAAGCCATGCTAGAGAATATCATCAAATTTATTAGCAGCAATCTGCGACACACGACGTGGCGATTGCGACGGCGCGACAATCAAACAAGTATACAGTATGTTAGGTTAAAAGAGGGACATATTCAATACCAACCCCACAATAGTGTATGCTCACATGAACCTAACAAACACATTTATAAACGAAACAAAAACGCTTACGCTTACGGGTGATGGCTTAGCGGGCTTAAGCCGAAAACATAATAATTAATAAAAAATATAGGCAGTGACTTCACCGTTACATATTTGGAAATAGCATCTATGTTTAATAAATAAAGAAGTAGTAGAAAACCATACAATTAAAATAATAAATATTTTCCAGTTAATCATAGATCCCATGGAATGTTGTGACATGGAGGACTTCATCAAGTCTACATGGAAATCGGAGTGCGATTTCCATTTGCAGTGGGGAGGTAAGGAGAGGTTGACCATCTCTCAGCCACCAGCCACTGAGCCACCTACGACCACTACTGAAAGAACTGAGGCTATACAAGATATTATGTTGGTGCCACAATCTGTAAGTAATGCAATTCTCAATTTTTATGGAATAAGCCGGTAAACGAGCAGACGGATCACCTGATGGTAAGCGATCGGCGTCGCCCATGGACACTCGGAACACCAGAGGCATTACAAATGCGTTACCAGCCTTTTGGGGATTAGGAATTTGAGGATTGTTGAGGATTCAGGAGATTGGGGAGGGGGTGGGGGCAACTCACACGGCGAAACACAACGCATTTTCCAGAGGTGTGGGTTTTCTCTGGATCAACAAGGACCCGCCTCGCTTGAGGCATTACAAGTGCGATAAGGAATTTGAGGAATGTTAGGGTTTCAGGGATTAGGAAAGAGGAGGGGGGGGGGGGGGCTAATTGGGCCTCCGGTAACCTCACTCACACGACGAGACACATCTCAAGAGTTGTTTCACGTCGGTTTTCTGCGAGGCTGTGGTATCACTCCAGTCGAGCCGGCCCATTCGTGTCGTGCCAAAGTATGGCTCTTCGCAAGGCCCACAATGCACTAGTAACTCCCCTGGTGGTGGTCGATTATTTTTAGGTGATTAATTTCATCTGCTCGTTTGCATCGTCCTATCCCATAAAGGAACTTAGTTATTATCTGCTTCCGATTTGCTCCATAGGCCCAAGAACTTCAAATGTAAACACATCATGACTTCAAATGTAACACTGGACACTACCCTCATACGATCTTTCTCCATCTAATTCAATCTCTAGCAGTGTTTGACCTGATTTTGAGCATGCTGTTCGTATCATAACAATAAGTAGGTAAAGATTATAGTAGGATACAATTATCTTACATAACATAACATCACGTCTTTTATCCCCGAAGAGGCAGGCAGAGGTGCACATTACGGCACTTAATGCCACTGTACAATGTAACACTCACTTTTCACTATTTATGTTTCGAGTCCCATGTGATAGGGGGTAAGCCTATTGCCATATACCGGGCACAGTTCTAGACTGAGATTTTTTTTTAAAAACCCGGTAATACTTTGCCCGACCCGGGAATCGAACCCGAGACCCCTTGCCCCTTGCGACCACTCGGCCAACGTGGCACTCAATTACACAATTATCCTACTGTCGATATAATGGAATTTTGTAACTCTTCCATGAAAAAAATACTCAACGGATTTGATCGAAAGGCCCACAGCTAAACTATACTTTGGAACAACGCTCTATGCTACTTCTTATTCAGAAAACGCAGGCAAAGCAAGTAGCAAAACCTTCTTAACATGATTATAATTTACACATTTCCAGTGTGAAAAGGAGACCTGTGTCTTCCGGAACCTAGGAATCATAAAAGGAACTGAAATTGATAAGTCTGCATACATAGATATGCTTGCTAACTTTACCGGCTCTCATCAAGCGTGGATCCGTGCTACAGAGAAAGTTGTGTCCAGGTGTCTGAACGCTAATAACCTGGAACGTAGGAGCGACTGTCTCATTAACGACGTCTTGGCTTGTACATTGGATGTGCTCACTGAGGTATGTATGTATTGGTTGACGGGTTACCTAGGCTTCGGCTTGAAGTGGGAGTAGGAACAGAATGGTTTTTAATAGAGAGTCTGACACTCCCGCCCCACCCAAGCCAGGAGGAAAGTTACCCAATGAATTCATTGGATGACTCTCCCCCTTAAAAAAAGGTTGGGTTTGCCAGGTGTTTTTCACCCGAAGCAATGGGTCACGCAAAAAAAAAATCTTTTCGAATTAACAAAGCGAAATTACTATTACTTTATTACTTTAAAAATACTATTTCGTAAAGGGAATTGATCAGAATATATTACCACTGAATACACTGCTTTGTACCCAAGCGGTCACCGCTCTCCAGTTAATCCATTATAGACCTTATGTCCCATTGGAAATCAACAAGAAAACAAAACTTTATAGTATCTTTAAAGATTACTTTTGTATGAACAAAGTTTGTGAATTTTTAATAATCGGGGATTAAGAAGAACCTAACGGGTTACCGGGGCTCCGGCTCGATGTGCATGAGTAGGAACGGGGTGGTTTTTAGTCAGTAAGAGTCTGACACTCCCTCCCGCCTCACCCAGGTGGGTGAAGTCATTCGATGATTTCCCCCCTTTAAAAAATATAATTATGGGTTCGTAGATACGTAATCGGTATTATAATGCATTATAATTAAAATTAATTCTTTTAATAATTCCACAGTACTGCCCGTATAAGAGGAAATCAGGAATTTGCAAGTAAGTCCCTATTATACTATTAAGTAACTGTCCGTGACTCGAAATCTGGCAAGCACCAATGTGACTTCGTCCATGAAACTTGATCAAGCGTAGTCATTAATTCTTAAACCTTCTCTGTATGAGAGGAGGCCTTTGCTTAGTGGGCACTTACAGGGTGTCGATGGTGATGTTCATCAGTCTGATGAAATGAAAATGTAACGATTTATAATTTATCATTTTAAATGTGCATGTACTTCAGTATTATGTTATCTTTCAGGCACGGCAAACACGATGTTCCATGCCAAATAAGTTCTTCCAAATCTAGACCTGTAAGTATATGATTTGTTTATATATTTTTAACTTGACATAGGTACAAAATACAAAGGGCTCTTTGAAAAAAAAAATTTATTCGTAGAGTATTTTCTTTAATTAATATTGCCTTGGATAAATGTAATTGGACCTTCGGCGGTTACCGAGTTTCAGGCCGTGGCATCAGTCCGGTCGAGCCGGTCCATCCATGTCTAAGCATGGCTCTCACACAAAAAATCGAAGTTCTTTATTGTAGCTTTAAAGTTCAAATTCCTTTGCAGAAGAACCGTCGTGAGATTTGTCTCCTACCGGAGCTAGTACATCACGACCACCTGTACGAGTGTGATCTAGACGCTCTATACAAGGTGGAGCGCGTGGCTGTGCCTGTCAGACATAAGAAACATGTGTTCCCGAGCCTATGGCACAATGTATGTTATTGCAGATTGTAGTTAGAACTTTATTGCGTTTTTTTTGAAGTCTTGTTGTTGAAACACTAGAGTTAACATAACATAACATAACATAACATCACGCCTTTATCCCCGAAGAGGTAGGCAGAGGTGTACATTGTGCCACTGTACAATGTAACACCCACTTTTCACTATTTATGTTATGAGTCCCATGTAATACGGGGCGAACCTATAACCATATACCGGGCATAATTCCAGACTCCGTGCTACTACTGAGAATTTATAAAAAAAACCCAGTAATACTTTGCCCGACCCAGGAATCGAACCCGGGACCCTTGCCCGGCAGTCGTACTTGCCAGTTGTACTCGGCCAACGAGGCAGTCGAGGCAGACACTAGAGTTAGAGGTGTTAAATTTAGTTTCCTGGTTGAGTATTTTTACAGCACTATAGTTGTAACGCGTTCAACAGTAACATGCCTATATCGTGAAAAATGGCTAATAGAATAGAATGAATTTCGAAAACCGAAAACTCCAGTATTTTTTGTCACAACTGAGACTTAAACCACAACAACTGCTAAACCCATCCAACTATGCTTAGCCTCTTATCTGTTGAAACACCGGCTCCCGGTATAAAACACATTATGGCCGCAACTTTCAACAGACAAGAGGATAAGCAGCAATTATCGTTAACTAGCTACTCCCGCTCGGTTTCACACGCTCTGCTCAGCTCCTATTGGTTGTAGCGTGATGTTTTATAGCCTGTAATTATCCTCGATAAATGCACTATCCAACACAAAAAGAATTGTTCAAATCAGACTTGTAGTTACGGAGATTAGCGCGTTCAAACAAACAAACAAACAAACTCTTCAGCTTTATATAATAGTATAAGATAGACCGTGTCATTCCGCCACTGAACAATCTTTCTCTTTTTGTACCTTTCTCTTTTCTCTTCGTTTGGACCTCTTTTATAGAGAAGACTCATAAGTTACACGAGAGGTGTACCATAATATCCAAGCTTAACAAGCGAGTTGGAGTTGTCAAAGTCAAAGTTAAAATCATTTATTTCAATTAGGTCAGAAAGGACGGCAACAAAAAAAAAAGTGAAGCTATTGTGTAAAAGTGAAGACAGCAGTTTAAAAGAATAATCTTAATCACAGATCGCTGCTGCCTGCTCTCTGTTTAGGGGCAGCCCTGCACGCCAGACGGCACCTAACGCCGGTCACCTGTATTATCTCGATAACTTATAACGCAAGTGATTCAATTTTTAGGGAGAAGTCTCTCAGTGGCAGATACCTAAGATTTTTACTAAAAATTGAATCGCCGTCCGGCGTTATGGGACTTTTCCCTACATGTAGCAATTACGCTTTTCTTTACGCCCATAATAAGTCGCAGACCAAAAAGGGAGGCATATTGTCTCGAAGTGCAGGAGTAGGAACGGAGTGGTTCTTAGTCAGTAAGAGTCTGACACTCCCTCCCGCCGCACCCAGGCGGGAGAAGCCATTGGATGATTTTCCCCCCTCAAAAAAAAAAAAGGTTATTGTCTCCGGACAGATTCCTAAAAGGCAGAACATAAATACGTTTTAAAATTCATTTAACTTACTTTTATATCGCCAATTTCAGTGCAAACAATTAGAAACACAAACGTCATGTATTATGGATAAAATGGGGATCCTGAACAGATACAAGTTCATGGACTATTTTAAGATGAAGGATAAAATCAGACAATTTACTGAGGACAAGCCGGAGTGGTCAGCGATGATGGATATTTATACGAGTGCGTATATCAATTTGCCGATGTATTCCGATCATTGTACCTCGGAGAGGAAGCTGCTGAATGTCATTGATACTATGCTGATGGTAAGATCCTTGTAAAAATATAATCTTTTGAATTAATCGACAGGTTTTAGTGAAATTCCCATTGTTTTTATAATAACTATCGTGAGACCATGCTAAATTAACTAAAATCGCGGGTTACTTACGTAAATATACTGAGAAAAGCTCTACTAGTTTTGAACCACGGAGGGGTTCTTCCTCATGAGCAGCGTGCGCGGTCGCGGTGATCATCATCATCAGTAGGCTGCGCGACATCGCCGCGACCGCGCGTAATTTTTAGTGAAATTCCCATTGTGCTAATGTTCTGTTGCCAGATTTTGCTCTATTATTATATTTAGGTTCACTCGATTGAATGGAACCTATAAACTCGTCACAGGTCGTTCGTATTGCCTACTAATGTAGGCAGATCAAAATTACAGCAATAAATACGTTAATTTTAGCATTCCCTACGATTAAGTATAGTAAGATCTTTAGTTTCTGGAAAGTAGCATGAAAAACGTTGTTAAAATATATATGAACATCACGCCTTTTATCCCCGAAGTCGTAGGCAGATGTGCACATCATGATACTTAATGCCACTGTACAAAGTAATGACAACTTTTCACTATTTATGTTATGAGTCCCGCATGGGAGCTATATACCGGGCACTATTCTAGACTCCGTGTTACTACTGAGAATTTTTAAAAACCCAGTAATATTTTGCTGGACCCGGGAATCGAACCCGAGACGCCTTACCCGGCTGTCGTACTTGCAACCAGTCGGCCAACAAGGCAGTGAATACGTATAAAAAATCATTTTTAAATTGTAAATGGGTGTATTATTTTTGAGTAATTTGTAGTAACTATAACTACATTCCAAATTACCATTTTTTCAGACATGCCCAGTATCGAAGCGCAAAAACACGCCGCAATGCAACTCGCTCTTCATGGAGATGGTGAAAGCAACTCCAGCGGACAACCAAACCGTGACTAAAGAAAAAGCCGACCAAATTATGAAGCACTACCATCATGTGTTTATGCCTACACGACCACAACCTTCTAGATTCGACGTCGCTATACGAAAGAAGCATACAAAACACGTCACTCCTGCATTCCAATTTGGGATTCTTAATTCAAAGAATGCTCCTCCTGTTAGGGTGGCGTATGTTAAACCTCCTTCATACAAAGTAAGACCGCCTTTAATTCTCCAGCCAGTGTACCTAAGACCAACTCATTTTATAAGAGGTCGTGTTAGCGATAGTGCGTTTAGAAGTAATCTTTTTTGGCATCATAACCAATTGGTGAAACCTCAAGGGTCGGTCGAAAAGTCGACTTCCACGACCAGGTCTCCTGAAGTATCTACTTCTGCGACTCTTGAACTGTCTACGATGCCTCCTCAGTTAAACGAACCTTTCTTCAAATTGCCTACTAAATATATTAACAATAATGACATGGATATGGATTTGGGGAGACCCGAATAGTGTTTTTTATTGAATTAAATATCGTATTGTAATCGAAACTGAAGTTTTTCTTGCCTTACAGTCTTTGTTAACAATTCTTTATTAAATCTTTATTAATTTGAAAAGATTGAATACTTTTTTTATCATTATCTGTGATTGATTTTATTTTTCGATATATTCAATTTCAACTGCATTTGGCATTAAAATTAATAAAGTAATTAGAAGCATGAACATTTATCATCATCATCAACAGCCTATAAATGCCCACTGTTGAGCAAATCCTCTTCTCACACGAAGAACGTTTGAGCATTAATCACCACGCTTGCTCAATGCGTGTTGGTGATTACAAAGTTATAATTAGAAATTATAAGCCTAGGTTTCCTCGCGATGTCTTCCCTTCAGAAATTAGATAATATTAGAAAGTACATACAACTCGGAAAAAGTCACATTGGTACTTGCAGTTGATAGGTTTCGAACCCACTCCCTCATGCATGAGAAGCGGGTGTCTTAAACCTCCGAGCCACCACGACTTTTATGCATTATGCTTTTCCAAACTGTCCAGTGAATAGTAAAAGGTATTATTATTATAATATGTACCTATATCTTGTAGCCTAGCCTATAATTTGCAGCAGGAGATTTTCAGAACTTGATGGGTGTCTTAATAAATAGGTATTAATAAAAAAAAAACAAAATTGAAGCCATATGAAAAAAGATATTTAATACAATCATAATATGTACTGCCTGAGTAACTATTGTACTTAATATATTTCTTACAATACTATATCATAGCTATAAGTATCCGTTACAATCATAATTTCAACCAATATATTGTCCTCAGTCTTAATAAAATGTGTAAAATTTTGGCCAGATATCATTTCAATATTTTCATTCCAGAAAAATCGTAAAAATTACTACATATTTCGATTTTTTTTTTGCATTTAAACCTATTTTAATTTTCTATAAATGTATAATTTTATTTCCACTCGCTAATATTTCGACTATGCACTTTTAAGAATTCAAAAAATAAATAAAATTATTTATATAACTAGATTATAACATACATCACTCTTTTTATATAGATACATTCAACACAAACAAACAAATCCACTACATTTCATCACTTCTAATTTTTTCTCATACTTTGAACTCACTCAAATATTTTTAATAAATTATAATTAATTAAAATAATTAGTAAGCAAGAACATGGGCACATGAGTTTCACTCAAATGTAGATTAAAAATTAACAAATTAAAAAAAAGATTGCAAAGTTCCAAAAAGGTTAGGCACCGATATTAAAAGTTAAAGCACTTTAGTAAAAAAAAACATGGCAAGCGATTGATATTTTGTAAACACGATTATATTATTCGAGGTTATAACTATATTTTTTATATTTCAAGACGCTGTACATTGTCAATACTTATGTCGTAATAGGATGAATTACAATATTTACATGTATTACCATTACATAGTATAAAAACATGTTATTAAAAAAAAACATTATCTACATACTGAAAAATCAAGTAAAAAGTAGTAATCCAATGAATTTTGAAGACTAAACTCGTTAATGTTAAGTATAAAATTGTGTATATTAACGAAATACCATGCATATTTTATACAAATATATAATAATTTAAAGCCTAAAGCTCAAAAGACAACCACATTGTAATTACGTATATAAAAAAGTCAAATGAAATTAGTTAAAAAAACTTTACATCTCGCACAAACCTAAGTTATATATGTTTCTTTCTCAAAGATATTTTAGGTACAATTATAAACATTATAAGTTTATTAACTGTATTAAAGTATAATATAATTAATATTTTATTGCTAACATGAATAACAATAGAAAAAACTGCAACAAAACATTTACAAATAAAGGAAAATCCATTCGTAAAATACAGAAATTAACCAAAAGGTGAATAATAATAAATCAAGTAACTCCTTTCTTTTATACAGATATAATAATAACTGGAGTTTTAAGTTCATCATCGGACCAATGAGAAAAAGGGATAGAGGTATACAGAATATGCTCTGTCCCTTTTTTCTTAATGATGACTTTTACAAAGACACTCCATTTTAAAGAGTTCGATCGTTCGTTTTCATAGATAATATTTACAGGCATAATAATTCGATTCAAAGAATTATTATGTGAAATATATCAATGTAAAATTATTATACGAGTTAAAAAATAGCGTCAAAAGCCAGAAACCACTTTACGTATCAAAAATCTAACAAAAACCATGTTCTATCTATTTTTGTACAAAAACTTTGTATATTGATACACATTTTGAATTTCATTATGGCATATTAAGGCTGATTGTGTCAAAATTCCTCATAGATCGAGTATCACCGTTGAGACTATGGGACCCAGTATTGATCCTTGTTAAAATTTCTTGTTGAAGCGCTTTTAGAGTTCGCATGGTGGAGAGATCGGTGCTTGGAGCGAGAAGTAATGCTCTTCTAGCATGAGGAAGAGCTTCTGACGGCTTATTGAGGGCGAGGATGGCTCGAGCCATGGCGTAGGCACACTCAAAGGCGTTGGGACGCAAGCCAGAGGCCCGTGCTGCAAGGTCTAACGCTTCTGACGGTTCCTGCAAAATAACAGTCACAGTATGTTTTCAAAATGTCGATAAGACTGTTGTATGTGAAGACGACTATGATGAGTAATAAGGACGCAATGGAAGTGAAGTCTGAATTCTGGTATAATAATTTGAAATAGATGATAAAGTAAACAAAGTAAATAAACATTTACTTTGTTTTATTTATTAATTCGCAAGACTTGAAACACGCGTTAGGTCAATTACTCTTTGAACTACTGTTCTAGGTCTAGGTCATCAGACTTCCGAAACGTTCTTCCCTCCAAGTACCTACTTAAAGTAAGAACATACAAAATTACTTACGTTCAATTTCCTCTTGCATCTAGACAAGTTCAGCAGCAAATTAGTCTTCAACTGCACAAAAGCTGACACATGCTCATGTGGCACTGGCTGAGTAGTAGGAGTCGTCAACCCTTCGTCACTGATCAGTGGGTTTATCTTCTTCAGTGCGTACTGGTAGCGGTGAGCTGCTTCTGAAGGTCGGTTCTTACGGTATAACATGTTTCCGTCTTCTAATAACTTGTTCAGCAGTATTAGCCTGGGGGATAATGGATTTATTAGTTTCATAATCGTCATTACATTTCTCGTATTCAATTTGAAATGAGGTTCGTAGCTTAGTTAGAGAATGGTAACATGATTAAGTTAACAACATATAGCGAATTGTCTACTTACATGAATTCTGGTTTGCCCGAAGCCATAACCCACGTGGTTGGACCAAGTTTAGCGCCTTTTCTTAAGAAACAATTGACGACCTGTAAAAAAGCGATTCATTAATACGATGTCATTACTAGACACCATATACGTAGAAGAATAATTTAAAATAGTGGCCAGCAGAAGAATTAAAAGAGTATGACTTACGGGAACATTCCGTTGTCCAATAGCTCTGTCAAGCGGCCTAAGGCCGCTGTGGTCAACTCTTTCCAAAGAGGCTCCTCTCTCCAGCAGGATATCAACGAGATCTGATGGTCCACCGCAGGCTAGACCCAAAGGTGTACGACCGCTACCATCAGGTTGGTCTGCAAAGAAGAAGATTAAACGATTAATTTGTAAATCAATACCACCAAAGCTTTGAGTCAACAGTCTTTGGATATTCTAAGTAGAAAAAATGTTTAACTATGTTTAAACAGATGGCAAAGTCTATTTACCTATGGTAGCTCCTTTGTCAAGCAGGACTATCATTGTGGGCAATCTGGATCTTAGACACGCCCAACCAAGAGCCGATATTCCATCACCATCGACAGCGTCTGGGTCAGCACCTGAGACAAAAACAAAATTTTGTTATAACACTAATTTTAGTTTTCATTGCACAAACGACAAAATGATTAAAAACAACAAAAAAAAGTAACATTTGAGGCTAATGACATCAATTAATAAGTGCACATTAAACTCACCTTGATTTAGTAACATTTCAACGACATCAGCATGACCTTCTGCAGCTGCTAATATCGAGGGAATCTTTCCACCAGATCCCATAACATCAGCTCCTGAATCTAGGAGCCTTAGTACTAAAGCTGTTCTGCCATTTTTGGCTGCAAGTGCTAATGGAGATAGTTGTCGAGCGTTTAGGGAATATGGTGTAGCTCCTCGGATGAGAAGAGCATCAGCAATTGCAGCGTTGCCTGATGAACAAGCTGCTGTGAGAGCTGTTTCCCCTGTCACTGGACATATGCCGTCAGGCTGGAAAATAATAGTAAAACATTTTAGTGATTGGAACTTTGTAAAGCCATAACTTTAACAAATTTAATAGCTATTATGGACCTTTACACCAAAAAAATTATAATTGAAGTGGATATTTTGTTAAATTACCAAGATTTCACTATGTATATAAACAAGAATAAGTACTACACTTACAATTAATTCAGCAGTATCAAGGAGATATTCAACAATATCTAAATGTCCATTTTGGGCTGCAGCTATCAAGGCATGTCGTGATCCTGGAACTAGTTGTTCAATGCTACCATCATCGATGTCCAAAGAATTTCTATCGTTGCCAGTCTGGCAACCTAATAAGTAGATTACTGTATCCCTGTGACCATTCTTCGCTGCGTGGACTAGAGGAGTCTGCTCTGCAGTGTCCGTATGACTAAGTGATGCACCTGCAATATTAATAACATGGTTTGGTAAAATAAAAAGCTCGGAAGTCAAACCAAAGTAGACTGTAGTTATACACGTATAGATCATAAAGTTACCTGCAGCTATAAGTCTCCTCGCAACATCCGTGTGCCCCCTTTGACACGACAAAGATAACGCTGTACAACCTTGAGAGTTCGTCATTTCCATGTCAGCTCCAAATTCTATCAACAGCCCAACCATTGCCAATATCCCTTGATACGCATACATGCATAGCAGTGGGGCACTACCAAGACATTCTGTGATCTGGTTGGGAGAACCTCCAGCTAAGAGCATCAGCCGAGATACTTTTACATTTGGAGTGTAAATATTCCTCAAATTAGCAATTGCTTCACCAACATTGGCTGAACTTGTGGCTACCAACATAGCCTGCAAATCTCTTGGACATAAACCTAATTGCGCTGGGCCCATATTCCTGTACATGTGTGCTTTTAAAATGTGATGTCCTAGTTCCATTGACTTTTCTGAGTCTAATGGCGCTTGTACCCTCGATAGCCTGAATGCAATACCGCAATGTCCAGCTCTCAAATCACAGAGGAATTTTGGGCTTTCATTGTCATCTCTTCTTATCAACCATTCCCTGAACGAAGGGTGGAAGAACATGTATGTGTTGTCGATCCTTTTCACCAGAAAGTCTGTCAAGGATTCAAATCTGTGGCAGAACTCATCCCAAGGAAGGAACGTATTGACCAGCAATGAATTCACTGAATAGTATATTTCAACCAAAGTTAAAGGGTATAATGCTGCTAAGCAGACGCTTAGGATATGCGTGACTTTCTCAAATGACTGTACCGTAGGGAATCGTAGATTGAATTGCAACAAGAATATTTGTGCCAATGATATTGGCACTACTTTGTAATTTGTAGATTTTACAACAATATGACTCCTTTCAAGTAGGTCTAGTACTAATTTTAGGAACAAAAACGAGCCTTGGCTTAGGTGGAGAACGTATTGTGCGAATTTCATCACTGAATTGTGTACTCCTTCAGACTTTCCAGTTGAACACTTGATATTTGTTTCTATGATAGGAGCGGCTTGAAGTCTGGTGTTGAAATACTCCAGGAGATCTTTGTTAACATTATCTGACTCGTCTAAACTGAGCCTGGTGTATGGCAACTGCTTCGACAGTTCCAAAAATTGTGTCCTTACTGTAGCGACTACTTTGAGCCATGTAGGCATTTCTGGTACATGTCTTGCTAGGAACGAAGCGATGGTGTATCCATGGTCCGGTCTATGGTATTCAGCTTCACAAAGACCGTCTACGAGAATGATGCTGTTTGAGGAATCTATACTTCCATTCCTCCTCAGGATTATGAGAGGCTCAATGATGCCTCTCATGAAAGCCAAGTCTGGGTCTGCGATGCATTCTTTGAGTGACAAGCAGGCGAGTAGATGAGGTTCACTAAGGAGATATTCCCTGTAGGCTTGTAGTCTAGGAGCTTGGCAGAGTTGTGCTGCTAGTGAATGGACGAATTCACCCACGAGGCAAGTACTGTTGTTATCAGCCTGGAAATAAAAGACGTATAAGCAAACAATTTTCATAAAAATATCCTTAAGTGTGTGGGAATTAGATTTAATTCTGTTCTAAAACTTACCTGACAAAAATGATAAGCGACTACATGTGAAGCCAGGTGGGTGAACATGCCAATAGTGAGCTCCTCTGGTAGCATCTCCCTGATATCTGATTGTTCTCGTAATTCTTCATATTCGCAGTTTTTTTTTCTACCAAAGCAGGAGTATTCTACTAGCTGGAGTATTAGTGCTGTCTTTCCAGTGCCTGGACAACCAGATACTATGATACCTGTGGAAGGAATACAAGTTTCGGTAAATCGAGTATTTGATTGATAAGTGTACTGAAGTTTAAGCTGACGAAACGTGGGCAGGCCTCCCGCTAGATGGACCGACAACATCACCAGAGTTGCGGGGAGCCAGTGGATGCAGGTGGCGAGTTGTCGTTCAACGTGGAGGACTAAGGGGGAGGCCTTTGTCCGGCAGTGGACGTCTTTTGGCTATTAATGAAGATGATGATACTGAAGTTTGTTAATTAATGGTAACAGTTTCACAAATAATGCAAGAGATTATGATACGTGAATCACAATTTTGGTTTGTGTATTTAATTTAGGAAATATAGTTACTATAAAAAAAAACAAACTGTTCTTTAGATTTTATGTATTTTTTGATTGGGTAAAATAAGTAGAAAATCAAGACACACATAAGTAAAGTACGATACAAACCTGAAGCACTAGAGTCCAGGGCTTTCTCCATATCCCTCATAAGCCATTGTCTTCCTGAGAAGAACGTCTGATTGTCTGTTGAAGGTACCTCGAAGAACAGTGGTCGTAATGTAAGTTGTGGTGATGGATGAACTGGGGACAAATTCATTTATTAGAACTATGAAGTTTAATGCATAAGATCTACAATATCCTTAATAGGAAGGGTCACCGTAATAGTATTAATAACGAACACCATTAATTCGAATAATGTGGTTTCCATAAATGTAAAGTCATCTTATATGGGACTAATAACTAGGTGAAATTAAAGTATATACTTGTACTAGCTACTTCGTACTACTAGTTTTACACGCTCTGCTCAGCCCCTATTGGTCGTAGCGTGATGTTTTATAGCCTATAGCCATCCTCTATAAATGCGCTATCCAACACTAAACGCATTATTCAAATCAGACTTGTAGTTCCGGAGATTAGCGAGTTCAAACAAACAAACAAACAAGCTCTTCCGCTTTATATAATAGTATTAGATAAGATTTAGTTCTCAAATAATATAGTAAACCTAATTTTGACAAGTCTCTTTGAACTTTATTTTAAACGTCAGTGTATAGGTCCGATAAATTCTCATTATACACAAATTGCAAATCATTGTCTAATTCAGTTTTATTGAAGCTTTATAATCAAAAACTTATTTTAACTGCCAAAGTTATTTAAAAATAATCTAAATGGAATTTAATTAGAAACCTAATTACGCTAAAAATAATCTTCGAGTACATTATAATAATATCTTTTGGACGTTTTTGCTGAGAGACTAGACTAGGAAAAAATATTAATTTAGCTTAACAAATAACCTTTTTTGATTTCGGACGATGTCGATGATTGCTTACTGTTGACCCTGGCTGATCGTCTGGCTGCTGTTTTCCGTGTTTTGAAGAATCCACTGGACATTCGCGTCAGTTCATCTGATCTGCCACTTTGAAGAGCTACGGGAAAAATAATTTTATTGGCTTTTTGTTTTAAGTTGAATTTTAAATGGCAGACAATAGTATGGTTATTCTAGTGTATGAAAGAATAGAAGATTAGGAAAACGATGAATTGTGTTGTGAAGAAAAGAACGTGTATGATGAGAACAGGGAAGATAAAATGTATCTAATCTACGCAGAGGAACTAAAGAATCCCAACAAAAGGCTAATAATAAAAATAACAAATCAACTACACTAAACTGTTCCAATAAATCAGTATATATTTATCCCTGTTCCCAAAATTTCCAAATCACTTCCAATCTATGAATGGTTCTCGTGTCTAAAGCTAATAACATTTCCTTGTGAGTGGTATTGGCAGCCATAAATACCAAGGGGCGTGGTATCTTAATGACCAGCCACTTTAATCTTCAAGAGCCTAATTAGGAGAGATAGGAAAGGGAATTAGGAAACTAATTTGGCTAATTAGATTGGCATGTTACCGGCGAAGTTTTTTTTTTTAGTTTTGGGATATGCAGGCAAACGATAAGACGGATCGCCTGCTGGTAAGCCATCAGCGCCGCCTATTGACATTGAACACCCGCTACACTAGAGGAGTTATAAGTGCGTTGCTGGCCCTTTAGGGGTTTTTAGATTTGAGGATTGAAGAGATTGAGGAGGGAAGGAATTGTTTGGTCAAATTAAAACAGCTGGATTATGAATTTTTACTTACTGTTAACAGAATGTCGTCTGCTGCCAGGACTGGACGAGGAACAGTTGCTGGCTGCTGATAATGACATGGACGCCAGAGAGCCTAAGGAGTCACGACCCAATGGTGTCGCTACTTCCACCTCTGAAGAACCAGTGAGGGTTGATACCTGGAATGAAAGGGTTATTGCAGTTGGTAAAGGCTCTGCACATATTTCCTGTCATGGTGCTAATGCATTATGAATAAATTGCAATTAAAGATTTGATAGGGAAAGAAAATATAGGTCGGTAATAAAAATAATTATAATGGATCGTAATATATTACTCATTATACTTTTTGGACAAAATCTTGCTTCAATACTTTTCTTTACTTCCTTTTTGCGTTATTTTCGTTCATTTAGTGAAAAGCAATTACAAATCCGTATCTAATTATTATTTGTAGGCTACCTAATTTTTAGTGCTCTTAAAAACAGACTAGACTATCATAACATCTATGGATTTAAATGAAATACTTACAGGACTGGTATTATGTGACGCCAGTGTATGTGCATCGAGAGAAGCGAGAGAAGTACAGCTATCTCTAGCCTTATTCCTCGCTCCTCTTCTCTCGCCCAAAAGAAGTCCCAAACGCATGTACAGGTCATTTTGTCTTCTGGACTCGTAACCAGTCTGCTTGATGTGACCTCCTTCATCATCTGTGAGAGAGAAGAAGAAAATTAGAACATAGTTCATGAAAAAGAGAAAGACATATAAAAGTTAAAGTATGCGAATTGGCGTTAAGCGTTTTATGGGTTTGTTCATTTATGTAAAACATTTCGGCTTTGGAAATTACCATGGCTATATATTATTGAACCAATAGTATTTCGCCTTGTTCTTATGCACATTATTAACTCTAAGCCCTTAGACATAAAGCTCAAAATGATTCTAAACAAATACAAAACGAACGTACGAATAAATAATTTCTAAATGCAAAATTCATTTTACAACTGAACTGTTACTTTCAAATCGATAAGCTATTGACATTTCTAGCATAAAGGTGCAAAAATATACAAACAGTGTAATTATGGCTATAAAAACGCATTTACAAATATAGCTTTCCATAAAACATGCCTATGTTCACAAGCTTTCAACAAAACGCAAAAACGATTGAATAATAAAAACAACAATATATTCAAATTATGTGAACTCCATGCATAATACATTTGTACACAATCGTGCTATACATATTCTTATACATAGGAAAAACAAAAGAAATCATTCAAATTTAGTGAAAACTGGATGTGATGAGAAATCACTATAAGTTTCCTTTTTGCTTTTAAAAAAGCTACTGTAGCGTTTTCCACATTTAGTTGCTTTATGTAAAAAAGAGACAGTATGTACCTTACCTAGGTGGTGTTTAATCCTAAAATCTTAGGTATCGATAATTGGGATGGTATGACAGGGTACGAAAATTAAAAATCTGTTTAGTCCGTAAGTTAGGTAACGAAAAAATATTAGATGTGTTTTTTTATTTTGTTGTATACTAAAATAGTACCTAGATAAAACGAATCAAAGTTTAGGAGTGGAGGCTTATACGTCATTTCTACGTATAAAATGTACATAGAAGTGACGTAATGCGACATTTCAAATCAATATATCGTCGAAATTAAATATGTGTCTAGTGTTTTAAAGTAGGTAATCTACCAGACAGACATTAAAATAAAAATTAGGCATCTACCCTATTAATTACCTATACTAAGTTAGATTCCTTGGAAGTCGATCTTTTGTCAAAATAAGTTGTTTACTCGAAAGATTCTATAAAGCAAGAAACTGCTGAAATAACTGTTCATACGTCTATAAAATAACTTCAACATTTGTTACGATTTCTTCTTCCATCGTATTTAACCGAATACCTTCCTCTTTCATATACACAATCAAGTGCCAATAATTACTTCTCGATCCTTTTAAACGGCTTCCGATAGGTAATTATTTCCACCATCATCGATAAGAAACCCAACTTCTATACACACACTTATGTACCTTTTGTTTTCTCAATTCCCATGACATTTTGAAACAAATTAAAGAGTTTAATGAAGCAACACCATATTAGGTATTAAAAGAGGTTTCTGCGAGATATTTTTGCACCATTCATTGTGTGTTAAAACGAAATTATTGCGAAGCGGAAGAAATTAACACTGGAACCGGTTGGGAATGTTTGTGTAAAACAATCGCTGGGAGATAGTCTTCGAAATAGTTAGAAGAAAAGATGAGGTAATCGTTTTTCTGTAGATTCACAGTATTGTTTCGTCTTTTCACACCAACAGTCCGTCATAGAGTACCTGCTAGACTATATGCCTTTTTATCATAAAAGGGATATTACGGAGAGCGTTGCCTTCCAGGAGGTATCAGTCAAACGTTGGACTAATTCTACTAGTTCAGAGACTTAGCTAGCGCTGTATCTGCCGTATAATTATACGGGGCTACGTGTGCTGCAAAACGTACGTAAGTAAAAAATTATAAATGCTTCTCAATGTCCGATTTTATTTCAGTAATCACAATAGTCAAATTAAACTATTTTAATCCCGCGTACAGCATGCGTCCAAAGTTTGGCAGAAACTTTAAAAAAATTAGAGTAAGTAATCGTAGTCCGATAGTTTGGGCAGAGGGACTGCCTGGAATGTTTTTTAAATTTTCACATTTAATATTCTCTTGTAAAATAAATCTTTAGGCTTCATAAGGGCCCCTCAAACAATTATTTATATGGGGTCCCGGCAAGAAACGCTACGCTACTGGCTAAGTGTAATATAATGATTGCTGTTTATTTATTATTTTTCTGATGACTGATTGGTGTTTATTGCATCAAGCATGTTTTACTCCAAAAATAAAATAAGAATAGTCTAATTTTCATACTCTCCTTGTGCTTCACCTAACTACCTAAACTAAATGCTTAGATGATTTTACGTAACGTACACGTACACAGACTCTAGTATAAGTATTAAAATACCTCGCTATGTCCTACAGGATATAAGTTCGTCTTCCTTTACTACAAGTTGCTACATCGGCCATATTGCCCGGTGTAAGGTGAGATCCTCCAGGTGCGGAAACGATGGCGTGGGAACATTGTGCCTCCAAGACTTGAACTTGATATTGTTGTCTTAGTTGTATGTCATAAGGACAGTGTGATAAAATTAACAAGTGTGATTTTTTTTTAAAGTAAATTGGGTTTTGTTTACGGAAATATGCGTTTATTTTGTGGGGGGAAATAATCCAATTACTCTCGTACTTCTTTCGCCTTGGGTTAGGCGAGAGGGAGTGTCAGACTCTTACTGACTAAAAACCACCCCTTTCCTACTCCTGCTCTTCGAGCCGGAGCCTCGGCAACCCGTTAGGCCTTCCGCGGTACTGTATCGGGCATCAGCTCTGTTGGGCCCTATCTGTGGTGGTCTGATGGCTCCTCAAAGCACGCGCGGAACGCGACGCGCAGTTCGATCGAAATTGATATTGTGAAATTTAGTACTCTCGAGTTACAACACTAGCGCCCAATACATTACATATTGCGTGGATATTGAATGAACTAAATGGTATTGCGTTTGGCTTTATATTTCGTACTCTGAATGCTATTTTAACAGCTACAATTGTGGTTATAGTTTTGATATTGAATAATTATTGAGATTTTATTGGATTGAAATTACATTGACATTGAGATTGGTTTCAAGAGTAAGCACCCTGATCGGGCGGCGAGCTACTCTTGCTCACCACCCGCACGGTAATATGAGTTAGGGATAGAAGTCAAAGTCAAGGCATTTACTTCAATGAAACCCGTCGGGAGTTTCTCGGACCGATTTGAATAAATTATTTTACCATTTGATCTATTTCTACAATAAAATATTTCTAAAAGATCGAGACTTTGTTATACACAAGCGAAACTGCAGTTGGAAAGCTAAGTTAATAAGCAATCACTGGTATTCTACTACTCATTACCAAACACATAACTTATTAAAGCCAGAACGCATTAACTCAATACCAACATCAACTTAAATTGAACTGTCACTATATAGACATACAACTCAATGTTAATTAACGTGTTTATTGAAATGTCTTCGTTAAGTCGCTAAATAAGACATTTTTGCCAAATGTCAAGTTGTTTCGCTTGATGTTTGACATTTTGTTACTTGTAAATTAGCGTGAAAGGGCAATACTTACAGGTCCATCTGCAGTATGTAGTGAATGGCTCTGTTTTAGGCTTGAATGCACGTGAACGGAGTCGGAGTTACTTTGTGTTTAACCTATTGTGTTAGAGGGATGTTTTTCAATTTTGTAAACTGTGACCAGTTACAAAATGTAACTCAAATCAACTTCTTACCGAAGGTTACAGAGGCACGCGATTTAAGCAAAAAACCCTTTTAATGTAAGTACCTACGTAATAGATATGCATTCGTAATAGGACGTGGGACTTGGACGCTTAAGACATAGTATAAAGAACAAAGTAGGTTATCTTCATACAAATGCTCCGCGCGCGGCTTATATGTGTGCGCCATAGTATCTATGCGTCGACGCACGCACACTTTAACAAAATCTCGACCCGTTTCTCAGTGCGCCAGGCAGGGCTAACACTGCACGAGGTTCGCGCGCGCATCACTTTTCGGCACTGTTAAATGAAATAAAAAATGTCTGATAACTGTAGAAGAACGTATTGCTGTGTGTTTGGGTGTCTTAATAATTAATCGATTCCAGAACTGTCTCTGTTCAGATTACCTATTGAACAGAAAAGGTAAGCTAGTCACTTTTTCTAGCATAATATAATTTGTAGGTACTTGATGATGAGATACCTACTTACTTATTCTTACTCTTATCATTCTTCATAGTTCCTACTCAACCAGAAATGTAATTACCTACTATACTTAAATATTATAAGAAAATGTGGTATTGTATTGTTTATTTCACAGTTTATCTGATTTGGTAAGAGCGTGGTCGTGTCGCATTTTTCCATATAAATGTATTCCAAAATTTACTTTCTGAATACTATGTATAGAGCTAAAGTTTATTTTAAGAAGTTAATAATCTTTTTATAAGCTTTTTATTTTTACTAAATTTATAAATTGATAAAATATTCAATTATAATATGCTTTTCATTTCATAAATTTAGATCAAGTGCTGCTTGTTCGAAAATATTAACTAAAAGTAAAAGTGACAACCCTGGGGATCAACGCAAGAGTAGGCTAATAACTCGGCGGGCGGCCTTAGATAACCTACTGTGTTCTTTATACTATGCTTAAGACGGCAAGTACCAATGTGACTTTATCCGAGTCACATGTACTTTCTAAGATTATTTAGACACCACTGACAAATGATAAAGGAAAACATCGTGAGAGAACCTGGGCTTATAATTTATTTATTTATTTATTTATTTATTTATTTATAGGATCACCGACATAAATACAGCAATATTGCACAATGAAAATATTTTTGACTTATAAAATACCTTAAGACTATCTGTATTCACAATTATAGGTAACCACAGCATGCATAATAATATAGCTTTTTAACTTATATTATAATAAAAGAGATAATAAAAATTAATAAAAATTTAGTACAAAATATAATAAAAATTAAAAATTAAAATAAAAAACATTTTGTCGAAAAAAAAAATTAAAATTTGGCAAAGGAAAATAAAAAGAAAACATAAAACCAGTAGGAAATGTCGACCACAAGCTAA